TTTTTAATGTTTTGTATTATAATACTTGAGAACATTTCTTGTAAAATAGAGATTTGATATATAGTCGCTTCGGTAATATTAGAAATTGTTGATGACATTAAGTGCACTTTTGAAATCGAGTGATGATATTTGCTCCCTTCCTCTATACGTGACTATAATAGATACAGGTTCTTTGTTTATTCTTCTGATATCAAGTGTATTTTTCTCTTCTGTCATATATGTTTTTCTTTATATAACGAGTTATTGAAAAAAAAAAAAAAATGACGAAAAGTATTACCCAAAAATATATGATGTCATTCGATTAAAAGATTTCTTGTTTCGAATATAATAATATATATTTAATGTATATTTGATCAGTAAATGTAATAAATCGATTTTGCAGCTTCGAACGCGGTTCTTCAACTGCGTGACGAGTTTTCGCGAGACGACCCTGAGTATAAGTTGGAGTGAAAGTTTGTAAGTCAAATATTTTTACGACTGCTCCCAGGAGGACGAGACGATCTCCCTCGCAAAGTACTGACTCTAACACTTTTGTCAGGGATTTAATGCCAATCAGTATATATATATATGTATATGCACTCGCAATCGTCTCAAGAAACCTTTTCCAGTAATCTTCTTTATATATTTAACATCGTTACTTCTATTATATATATGAGAAATAATAATTTTTTTTTACCGCGCAAGAGTTGGAAAACGTTATTTCTTCTCTCATTTTATTCTATATTATTATTTCCATTATTTTGTAATATTCTATTAGATGTATCTATGCACTCTGATTTATGCCCCTATAGTGTTAGGAATGTAAGAAAAAATCTCTTGAATTGATTATAGGAAAAAAAAGGCTTGATGATGATATGAATAAGATTGTTAAAAGGTGTTGATATTATCAAATAAGTCATTGACAATTTTTTTTTTTTGTGTCAAGTCATTAAAAATGATTAAACAAGTATAATGTTTGAATAGTGTGATCTTCTCATTGCTACTTGACATTCTAGTGTAAAGTCATGAAATGTTGCTCTTGTCAACAGGAAAGTAAATAATGATTGGCGGTGGAATGCGGGCCAATGCTTTGAGAAAAACATGTTACTGATTCAGTAGGTATGAGCAATCATTTTGCAAACTTGGACATATATGCTATCCTCTCTGTAATTGATTCAGTTTTTGTTGAGTTTCTTGTTTCTCCTTTGCGCACATTGTGCGCGGTGATACTAAATTAGACTAGTTTTGTTTATTATATACGGAATTTCTCATTTAGAAGATGAATTCTCAGTTTTTGATGCAAAAAATTTTAAATAAAAGCAAAAATTTGTTAATATTTAGAAAGAAAAAAAATGAGAAAAACACTTATTTGTTAATATCATAATAATAAATATTTGTGGTCATTTTTAAAAATGATGATTAATTTAAGAAGGGAAAGAAATTTTTGTTTTTAGTTGCGGTAGAGATTGTTTTACATTGTCGGTATCTATAAATATTTTTTTCATTTAAACATTTTTTCTCGAGTATTTATTTTCGAATTAAAATAATCAGCAATGTGTTACGATTTTACAAACAACGCAATTTTATTATACTTTTTTTAATTAATTCTGAAGCGAAAGCAAGAATAAAAAAATAAATAAATTTGCTAAAATTTATAAGTAAATTTCGATGTAGAATTCAGTTTATTATTATATGACATCGTGTTTTTTTTTTTTTTTTATACATTTAAGTAAGAGTCTGGGAATCCCATATTTTAAAGGATTGTAAAATTGTATTGTAACGAATAATAAAAGCGAAGCAAAGCACAATTTAAAGTCCAATGAAACTATGTTTCACATAATTTTTATCTTTCTTATGCAAACTATCTATCTTTTCTAAACTAAAGTCGAAAGCAGCAGACGGATTATAAGGATATGATAAAATACATAAAATTACGTCATATCTTCAAACTTTCTCCTATCATTAGAAATATAAATCTTTCATGTTTTCTTCTATAAAAAAGTTATTGGTAATTTAAAAAAAAAAAAAAATTAGATCACTTTACAAAAAATAGTCTGTGTTAAATTTTCTATAAATTTTCAATCAAATTCTCATTGAATTTGATGATTTCATTCCTCTTCTATAATAAAATATTACCGCAGAGAAAATTGAAAGAAAAAATTCAATTAGATTATAAAACATTGTTAGATGTCAGGCAATTAGAAAAATGGGGAAAAAACAAATAAAATTAGAAGAGAAGCGCGGCAAATTTAAACTTATATATGATGATGCGCGCTTATGTAAAGGTGATGTGATGTGAAAGAGAAAGCTGAAACATAAGATGCTTACATTTATTTTTTTTGTATTTAGCAAAGTGTTAATGTAAGATAATGCACATTTAACTTGCATTCGTAATTTTTGCGCGCATATACATATACGCGTAAATATATCAAGTAACTCTCATTAACAATTTTTATTGCAAGTTCTTCATGAATGATTCAGATTTTACCTCAATCTTTCATGGTCTCCTTTTCACTTTAATTCCAAGGTCACCGACTTTCGTTAACTCACAACCAAACATTCCGATACAATTTCAAAAAGCCTTCAATTTAATCGGGTGTGAACAAATATTTTTATGGGAATTTGAGAACATAAAAAATATGTCTCACGTATAGAGAAAGAGAATATGAATATGACACTTTTATAAGTGTGAGTCATGATAAAAATAATAATCAAAACACACAATAGTTTCGCATATTCTTATGATAAAATTGGAGTCGGTATAAAAACTACACATGTTTTTGAAAAATTTTGTATTGTTTTAATAGTGACTTTAAAATTGACTTTATTTTGCAAATATTTAGAAAAAATAGTAAAATTAGTCTTAAATTATTAGTCTTAAAATATTGCATAACTTAAAGTAACATCTTATTTTAATCAAATATTTTCCAATCCATGACTTCTTTAACAATGAGTGGTTTAATTTGCTAGGTTTAGCTGATGGTTATTCCAATTAATAGTTTCATTAATTTCCAAAAATGGTAGTTCGAATAGGTTACAATTTCAATCGCTAAAAACAAATTTATTTGATTCAGATAATTGGTCCCTTGATTATTATTATCAAATAAATATTTACTTGAACCAAATAATTTTTATTTCAATTAAATATTTGGACCAATAATTTCTTTATTTGGAACAAATAAATTGACTAAAATAATAATTATTTGATTCAAATTTATTTTATTTTTTATTTTTTAATTTTATTACACTGCAAAAAGAAGTATTTTATTTTAAGATGTTTGGGTAGCGTTTTTAAGACATTAAGACATTTTAAACATCTAAATGCTACCAAAACATCTTAAAATAAGATACATCTTTTTGCAGTGTAGATAATAATCAAGTACCGATTATTTGAATGAAATAAATGTTTTTTTCAGTGTATTTTAGTTACAATTTCTAATAGTTTCAACTAATCCTCATTCCAAATAATCAGTTCCGCAATGTTAATTTCAAATTATGATAATTTCATTCAGTTTCGATGATATTTTTTTTAAATAGCAAATATCCTTGAAATTTGTCTTTAGACATTAAATTTGGTTTAAAATTAAATAAAACAACGTGTAAATCATATTTTTATGTAAATTGTAAATTATAAATTCATCTAATCAGTTATATTAATTGAAAGAATTATTTACATCAAATTAAAAAAAAAAAAAAAATAATTTTGTCGTAGGAGTATTTTTTCAAAGATTATAAATTTTTTTCTTTGCAATTTATTAAAAGTTTATTTAACCTTTTACATCGATATTCGACGATTTATGTTTGTGCTTTACATATATGTATGTCTGTTGTGTATACATACATATATTGGCTTCTTAAATTTATAAAAAAAAAAAAGTTGTCCGATTCAAAGTTGCAGAAAGAGATCCAAAAACGAATGAAATTCTTCGAGACCTATGGCGCCATAGTATTTTATGGTGAACATTTTACATTCCAGAAAATTGCCCAATAATGTTTATAGCCTTAAAATTGTATTATCTTACTCGTAGCGTGTCAGTAAAAAAAAAATTTTTAACTCACAGCACAGTAGTAGTTTGAAATATAATTTTCCGAACAATTATACCGTAATTTGTATTAATTTAATGCTGATAATTATGATAATTTTAATAGAAATGATAAAAAAAATACCTATGCGGGTTTTATTGCCAAATGTGATTGAAAAAGTGTTTTACAACTTATTGCGCAAACATATACAATAATTGTTGGTTACAATTCTTCTTGAAATTTGCCAATTTTTTTCGTTTTTTGTTCATTTTTTCTAAAGAAGAAATTATTTTTCAAAATACTTCCGTCTATGTAAATATTTTTATATTTATATGGCTTTAAGTTTGTGACTAAATCAGATGAAAATATATACATTTGAATTCAATGCTTTTTGTGACTTCTGTGTAATAATATGTATTTTTTTTTTATTATCATTGCGCAATGCTTCACTGATATATAATGCAGTTGTAAAAAAAGCAGAACACGGTTACAGTAATAAAATTGTCAAAGAATTGTATCATTTCACGAATTTATGTAATTTGAAAATTTTTCAATTACAAACGCGTTCAGTTAGAGTAATAATATTATTTTGCATATATACAAAATGTTATTACCGAATTTTTAATATGCTAATTGTGTAACATAATATTGATTGCTTAATCGTGTGTTCTTAATTAATTTCCTGAAATTAAGATGTAGATTTTGAAAATTTTTTAGAATTGTTACTTAATATTTTTTAATATTTTTCACATATATAATCAAATTGAGAGATAACATGTCAGATGAATCGTTCTAAAAAATTCAAATTCTGTGAATAATTCTATATGTATACAATACAAAAATTTGTTTACTACTTTTAAGTTCAAATCTTTAGGCACTTAATCATTAAAAAAGTAAATAAATTTAGGGTGAAATAGTTTTTTTTGTCGGTACATAATATTTTACAATATTCGAAGGGATGATGATTGCTAAATATGATTTATTTTTCAATTTGATAGTTCTGCTGACAAACAAATTGGATCAAATGAACTTGGGGGAAAAATGTCAACAATAATAAAAATTAAATGACAATGGGCTTTGGATTTTTTGAATTGTCACGTTAAGATAGTATGCCGCTTTGGCTGCTTGCTCTTGACGAACCAGCATCAGATCCATGCGGTAGCATCAATTAAGGAACACGTTCCATCGGGATAAAATCCGTTGGATCGTATTAGGGGATGCTCGCACGTGGTAAGGCCTCATCTAGAGCCGCATTGGCTTCGACCTTGGCAGTTTCCACGGACGAACAACCCACTGTAGAAGGAGGTTTTACACAGTCCTTGTACCAAAATACCAACAGGTTTAATCCTAATGGTGACTTTCCTGCATCAGGAATTAATAATCGCGAAGTAGAATGGTAAGACTTTCTAATTCCTAAGATTCAAAACTGGTTTTTATCAAAAGGTGCAAGTTCAGTCTAGATTTTCCTTTTTTTTTTTTGTTTATTCCTAATCTATTTTTATAATTACCGGATATTTTACTTTTGTAATTTGAAGAGAAAAAAAAAACATTAGACACATTTGCTTAGATTATAGCAATCCACAATATATATTTACACAATGACTGGTAGAACAATTCACCAGATTATAAACGTTCCTATCCTTGGATTCTAAATGTGAAATTGCACAAGATAATGTTGTGAGTGCATAAAACACATTATGTGTGACGTCACTGGTTGAGACATTAAAAAAATTCTCGGCAGTCTAATTTTGTAATAAAACCATCCGTTTGCAGAATCGTTTGAAAAATAAAATAAAAAAAGAAGTAACAAAAAAATTTTTACGAATTGATTTTCTTTTTTTTCAATCTGCATTGATTAAGCAATTATTTTTAATTAATGATAAATTATTTTATAGTAAAACTTTTATTAGTTTTTCGTTTTTATGTTAATAAAACATGAGAGTCTTAAATAATCGTTAATTTTTAAATTATTCGAAAAATAATAATTTACGTTTATGAACAACATTAAAAGAAATGGTTTGTTCTTTATTTTTCTTAATGGGAAATTCATTATTTTACAGAGAAGTAGTAAAATAAAAATTGTCTAGAGAAATGTTTTTTTTTTCTTATTTTCGAACAAAGAAAAAAGTTTACATAAGAATATAATTATAATATTTATAATGATTTTATTTTACAACAGTTTAATGTAGGCAATAAATTTTTTTTATTTTAAATTAAACTGACGAGAATTTTAAATGTTTAATCAGTGATATTAATAATTTGTTAAACATCTTCATACAGTATTAAAATTATATATTGTGGATGTAAAAAAAAAAAATTAAAAATTATTTTTTATATTTAATCTGCACTTGAAAAAAATCAGAGAGAAATCTAAAAGTGAAAACACTTTGCGGCTCGTGTTTGTTTGTAATTCACAAATAGTAAAAATCAAGCGCAATCGTTTATGAATCCATTTTTCGCAATTTATAAAATCATTTGAAAAAAAAATGAATTTGAAGAAATTTTATACAAGAAGAAGAAAAGTTTTTTTGTAATTTGATATTTTAGTTGGTTGAAAAGAGTAGAGAGATGATTTGTTAAAATTTAGCTGTAATAGCAGAAAAAATCCAGTTTTTTTTTCTTCTTCGTAAATCTCCAAGACTTGAGCAAAGTATTAGCATTCTTAATGGTTGCAGGATAGAACCAGATTCCTTAGACGTTGAAGTATCCGGATTGGTTAACGCCATAGCGTCATCACAGAATTCAAAAAAATGTTATCGAACATCAACGAGTTCAGGATATTCGAGTCATTCACCACCACTTTCAGCAACATCCTATACGTGCTGTGTTTCTGTTATACCTCAACAACAAGGTGCAGTTGCTGCCTCAACCACTAATCCTTTCAAGGAACAAGGACCAGGTTTAGCTGTGATTCACGAGGGAAAAACAATTCCAAGTCCAATTTGGCCTTCTTTAGATGATAATTCAAAAAATATTCATTATGGTGCCTGCGTAGAGCGTAACGGTGAAATGAAAGGTATATAAAAAAAGCATCTCTGATGACGCTTGTAAATTGACAATTAGGTGTCTCTTTTTTTCAAAAGATAAGAGAACATTGACATGAAGCACTCACACAATTCATCTTGTCACTATATGTCTGCTTTTTTCACATACTTTTTCTTTTACTCTCATTGCTTTTCGTTTTCTTAACTTTTCCTTGCACATGGTTTTCAAAGGGACGCATAAAAATTTCCTCAAATGTTGTTTGTTCGAATTTCCATTTGTTAGAAATGCGTATATTACACTGTATTTTCTTTTGCACTGCTTCTTTATTTCACTTAATTCACATTTAACCAAACTGCTACTAACCAAAAATTTATAATTAACTGTCTTAATTCTATTGCCACTTAACTGACAATTAATTAAAAATGTATAATTTAATTTCAAATTGTTATTTAACTAAATTTTTAAATTGCAGAATTTTTATATTTCACTGAATAATTTATATAAAAAAAACAGCTTACACCGAAATAAACATTTATTTGCTTCAAATAATTGATTACTTGACAATTATCAAATAAATATTTATTTGTATTAAATAATTATTTGAGTGGATTAAATTGTATGTATTTTTTTTCAAATTTAGAAATTATTGAATCAAATACAGTTTATTTAATTCAAATAAAAATTATAATTATTTGAAACAAGTAAATATTTATTTACTTGAATTATTATTTATTTTTTTAACTAAATTTTTACCTATCTGAATTTTGTCAAATGGAAATTTTGTTGAATAGAAATTTTGTTACATTTATTTATTTATTAATTAAGCTTCAGCCTTTCGGCCCAGAAGTGGACTTGGTTTAATACAAAGAAATTTTGTTACATAAAACTGGTGAAATAATGAATCTGTAATATAAAAATTTGTTTAAATAATAATTCTTCGTTATGAAAATTTTTTTAAATGTAAATTCTATTTTATAAACTTTGGTTAAATGTAATTTCGACTAAAAAAGAACCTAAAATTCCCGAGAATTTCAAAAATGAAATTTTTTAATAATTTATACTTTTAATAATAAAAAAAAAATAACGAAGTGTATAATTTTTGTTGTACATTAACTTTTAATTAGACTTTAAAAAAAAAAATTATTATGAAATTCTCGGGCCTCAAAAATACAGGATAATTGGACAAAAAGAGTGAAAGATTTTGTCTGTAAAATGTGATTTTTATCATTGGCAGTCATTGTTGGATAATTAGCATAAAATGTTTCATATATATATATATATATATATATATATGCTAATTGTCTTCTCAATCTACGACTGATTATTATCACAAGATTATGGAAATTCTCTTTCGACAACATTGATAATGGGAAAGATTTAGTGATAAAAATCCTTGAAATTGGTATATAAATGATGCATTTTTCAACAAGGTTATGCGCTTTGATATATTAGGAATGTTAGAAACAGGAAACTCTATCTTATCGCTTACGTATGCATAAATGTGGAATGAAAAATTTGCTTCTTTGTCTCCATATCAAAATGTAATGCTGATAAATTTATATAAAAACATTGTTTCAACAGGTGCGATTCCTTGTTGCTGTTATGGCTATGCATTTCCGCACCCTTATTGCCAGTGGGATCGTGAACAAACTTCCGGAACTGTAGCACGCGAAGTACTAATGGAGTTATCTCGAACATTGAACTCTGTCTTGGAAGGTGATACTGGAATGACACCGGCAGAAGTTTTACGAGATATTTCTCGTACTATTAATCAGAGCATTGATTTGGATAAAAAAACATCTCTCGAGGATTATATTTATCGTAATTCATCATCGTCAAGTGGCGTTAAAGATTCATTTCCCACTGAGATGAATCCTATTAATTCACGGGTTTATAGTAAAAATGAAAATTATCTTGGTATGCAAAATTCATCGTGGATGCATTGTCATTGTGAAAAAAATTTTGTTAGTCAGGATCTTCTTGCAACTCCTTTTGTAGATCAAAATAATTCTCTTATTGATGGTAGTAGTGGTAGTGGTGATAAAAAACGAAAAGACGCTAATCCTGAAATTCTTCTTGTTCCCGAAAATCGAGGATTTTTTTCAAAAAATATTCACTCTTATAGTAAGAAAAATTTTCATAAAAATTGTTCCTGTCATGGATTTAATAATTCGAATGGTGTGACAAAAGCAAAAGAACCTGGGAAAGATTCTTCGCAATTGAATACTGATAGGGATAAGTTTGATTTAAAAAAGGAGTATCCACATGTGAGCCATGGTTATTCAATGGTGAGCTAAAGAATTTTTCATTCTTAATTAGGTTTCTTTTATATTGTATGAGAGTATCTCAGGAATATTCAATTTACTTAATTATACATTATTTTTGATAATGTGTTACCATATTCAATACTTTTTTTTTCTACATATATATTTACAAAAAAAAAAATATTACTGACTAAATAATAAATATAAAATAAATAAATAACGAAAATTTAGAGAAATAATTAAGATTGGATAACTTTTCTTTTTGTTTTATGTAATTTGTAAAAAGAGAGAAATTAAAATTGAACAATAAGTATATTAAAAATAGTATTTCAAAATTTTTGAGTAAAATTTAAAAAAAAAATGTTGAAGAATCCTGAGATATACTTTTATACATGAGACAATTTTCTGGTACTATTTGAAGATAATTGTTTTAGCAGTTAAATTATGGTGAGGAGGGAACGTCAAGCGAGGGAAATAGTCGTTTGTCATCAAAGGATAGTTGGTGTCGAGAGTCTGGGATATTTGAAAAAAGTTTGAATTTCACTTTAGATGGATCGAGAGCTGAAAGATTACGTCGAACAATTGAGGAAGCGAAACGAAGACGTCAATGGTGTCGCGTAATAATTACACTCTTTGGAATCATCTTTTTTATATTAAGTGTCGTAATTGTATCTTTATCAGTCACAAAAGGCCGGAAAGTATTTGGCAGTATGTGAATTGATTCAAAACAATTTTGTGCAATCAAATATTAATAATCATTATTATAATTATTATTATAAATGCGAAATTAATTAACTAATTTTTAAATAACATCATCTTCACTGTTAAGGCATGTGAAGCAAGTATTATATACGTATACATATAGAATTAACCAGGATGTGATAACATTATTTCGAACGTCTGGCATTGTTTCTAAAAATATTTTTACAATGAAAATAAGTGATTAATTAATTTTAAAGATAGTATTTTATAATTTGGGGCAAGTGTGTGTATGAAAAAGTAAACTTTTTCATGAAGAAAAATTCTTTTTAGTAAAAAATAACAGAAAATTTAAATATTTTAGATTGTAGAGAAAATTTTATTTTGATGAATTTTTATCTCAAATTTTTTATAGAATTTTCTTTACTATTCTTGTGTAAAAAATTTCTCTATTGAAGCTTTTTACCCTAAATTGTAAAATACATAAGTACTTTAGTACTAATATGAATATTTTTAGTAAAATTTAATAATTACGATAATATAATTTATATGCAATATAAAATTTTGTATATATATTTCAGTGATATAGAAGGTACAATATAGTTATAGTCATTTTCGAAGAATTTCATTTGTTCTCTTTAATTAGAAATTAGTCAAAATTTACTAATGGTATAAATTATATATTAATTTTTATTTTATAGAAAAAAAAATTCTACAAAGAATGGAAAAATGTTAGTCATTAGTAGAGAACTACTAAAATCTGTAATCAATTTTAGTATGTAAAATATGTTTTTTTTTTCGTAAAATTAGAAAAATTTTATTGCTCAAAAAAGTGGATAAAATTTGTTAATTGAAAAAATTTAGAAATTTATTCTCTGTTATTATTAGCAATATTTTGATATTTAAATTAATTAGTGAATTTTTATTTCTAAATTAATTATAGTAAAAATTAATGGCTTAAAGTTAATTTGAAGTCTGATTACAAAGTTAGTAGTTTTCTGATAATAATAATGATAAGTAGTCGTTAATTAATTTAGATGAAATATTATTTTAATTAAAAAGGCGGTTTTTCGTCACTTCCTTAGTAGATTTTGATTAAATGAGATTAAGAGAATAAAAAAATTGTTTTCAACTGCTTAAGAAATATTATTAATAATTTAAAAAAAAAATTATAGCCATATTAAGTAGGTTAATTAAAAGTATAAAAAGCCACAAATAATTGTAAACATTTTGAGTTTTATCAAAGTTTTTGCATGTGCCGTTATACAGATTGTATCTGTGTGTTTATTTTTTAATAATAATTATTATTTTCTTCAATAAAAATGTATCGAAACAAATATGTAGAAAAATTAATAAACTATGTAGAGTTTAGAAAAAAAATTTTTTAATTTAAACGTAAAATCTAATAAATTAATTTATCTAATATTGTTAGGTTTACACTTAAAGGGAAATTAATGAAAGCCGTATTTTTAATATGATGTATTAATAATTCAAACGACTTTCTTTAAAGGAAGACAGTTGATTTACAATATTATTTTGTTATACTGTCTTCTTTTAAAACTTGTCTAGAGTAGAAATTTTTGGAATAAATTTACAAAACTTATATTATCTCGTGATGATCTTGATAAATGTACTTCAAGCTGTTTTCACTGAACAGATTACTTGAAAATAAATTATACATTATCTTGCATACAATAGCTATATAGTTAATTGTAGGGAATAAAGTGAAGTATATTTTGAAACGTATGTTAAAATGACAATTAATTAAATTGAAATTAAAATAGTTTTTTTTTATAATTTTTTTTTTTAACAATTTAATAATAATTTACCAAATATTATACAAATCGAACTTTCAATATTAATCTGTTAATATTAGACATTTTTTTCTAAATAATTAAATGAATGTTTTTACTATTTATTAATTAACAATTTTTGTGCTTTTTCATTTAATTACATTTTAGAAAAACAAAAATTATAAATTACAACACTAAATAAATTTATTGATTACAAACATACGTGTAAAGTGTACAAAAGATGAGTTTTTTCATGATCTGAAATTTTTTGTAACAACAATTAAACAATTTAAAATTCTTAACAATTATTTATTATGAGGTATTCGCGTTTTTTTCTTTTTTATCACAACGAATAATAATAATAATGACTTAGAGAACATTTAATGTATTTTCGTAGGGACTAGGATTTGTTTTTTGTGATTTTTCTTGAAAACGTGGACTTCTATTTGGCAAAACATGATGAACTGTTAAATTATTTTGATTTGTTTGCTCAATTTTAATTGAATCTGGTATATTTTGAATTTTAAAAAGAACATCTTTTCGTTTTCTCTCACTTGGCGAAATTGTTTCCAACATTGATGGAATTTTTGTACGAAAAATACGACCCCGACAAACAACAAGAACAACTATAATAATTGCTAAAAATGAAATTAATACTGTTAAAACACCAACAAGCCATCCCAATTTATCATCTGTAAAAAAAAAGAAAATTTTCGTAAAATTTTCATTGTTTAAAAAAAATTTGTTTATAATTTAAAATAATCTTACTTTCGATTTCCTCTAACAGCAGGAGGCTATCATTTCCCAATTCCACTGTTAGGTTTTCATTAGGCAACATAAATTTACATTTCCATTGGCCAAAATCTAAAGGTCCAGGAACAAAATGTAGAGTACAGACTCCACTTTGTGGCTCCATCAGCATGTAATATCTTGCAAAAATAATTAATTAATAAAAAATTATTTGTTATAATAAAAATAATATTATTTATAATAAAAAAGTAATAATAATATTTTTATTATTTTACATACTTGTTTTGAATTGATGAACTGTAATTGTCTCTTTTTGTAAGAACATCATGTCCATGAAGCCATTGACATTCAGTTTTTGGTGGTACTGGACCAATTTTACAAGCCAAAGTAACAGCTTGATGATGAGCAGCCCAAAGTGTCACTGTTACTGGTTCTATAATATTCACAGTCCAATATTAAATTTTTTTTTATTATTATTATTAACATTCACTTTTGATAGAATATTTCACCGAACACCTTTTGAAGCTTTCTTCTTTTATTTTTCCCCAGACACCAGAAAATGATTTCTGCTTCTTTTTTTCTATAAGCATGAGGTGTAATACAATAGTACATGTAACATTAAATGGTGAACACACTACTGGAGAATTACATTTATTTTCTTTTAATTAAGGAAAAGGAAGAGTCAAAGAGTATATCAAGACTTTTTTTTTATTGTAAAAAAACTTGTTTATTTCCTAAATTTTTTTTCTACAATTTGTAGAACCACAATTTTTTTACACACGCAATTGCTTCAAACTAATGTCATTAGTTTTCACTTTATTCTCCCTCTCTTTCTCTCTTTCTCTCTATGTATAATTGTCAGTCATTATTAACTAACACATATTAAAGATATACGATTTAACATCAGTGAAAATATTCTTTCCGTAAATTATTTGAAATTTTATAACAGTTGACAAATTTGTCTCTAATATTCTATTCTAATTAAAAAAAAAAATGTAATCTTTTTTAATTTAATTATATATTTTGCAAATTTTAATCAAGAAATATTTTTCTTGATATGAATTATTGTTCGCTATTTAAAAATGTAAATTTGAAAATTAAATTTAGAAAATTTCATATATAGAATTACGTTTTGTGCATAAAATGAGTTTTTTTAATTTTGTTTTTACTTGAGAATATTTTGCAGCTGTAAATAAAAAATGTTCTATTTGCGAAATAATGTAAAAAAAATCGATGATCGTTATTTGTTTTTTTTACAAGTTTGATTTATCAAGGCACTAGTTGATAGAGTTATTTCGTTTCTCTATTAGGAACAAAATCTTTAGGAAAACGTATATATGTATATATAGGGGGCAATCGATCCAACAAATTGCACACAGTGTGTATTTAGCATGAGAGTGGTAAAGCAACGTTGCTCTACATAATGCATTCATGACTATGTGTAGATTTAGTTGCTCTCTAAAATTTATTTACTCTCAACTTTCTTTTGTCACGTCGAAGTGAAAAAAAATATCCACGAAGCAAAAGCTGACGATAGTGACATAAATTTTCAATTTAATTAATTTTTTTTTAAAAACTAAGAATCATTTATTTTTTCTCCTCTTTTTCTTTTCTTTCTTATTAATCTATTTTTTTTAATTTCTCTTTTTTTGTCACTGGTATTTTTGTCTATAAATAAAACTAAAATGAAAAGACAAGAAAAAACAAAAAAAAAAATTATCTAAATTGAAATTTAAAAAATTCATTCATTAAGAATATACAAAGAATTTTTTTTTGTCGTTAGATTATAATGAAATTTCTTATTTCTAAATTAAAGTACAACTATAACTTTTTTCACATACGTACTATCACGTGAAGTAATAAATAAAAATGGAATGACAATGAAAAGTGTGTGAGGTTTTGAAAATTAGAAAATACACATATACACATCATATTTTAATTATATGTAACTTAATAATTAAATGGAATAATAAACAATTATTATCGATATCGATAGAAAATTGAGCAACTCTAATATTAGAATAAAAAAAAAAGTTGCTTTGGATTTATTTGAATTGCAACATTTTTAACTTAAAAAAAAAAAAACTTGTCTCGATTCATTCGACTTATTGCACACAGGAATATCTAATTAATCAATAATTTTTCAAGGACCTTAAAACTATATGAGAAGTGCAAACGCTTCTTCAATGCGAGATTTGAAATTATTCACAAGGTGCTAAAATAGCCTCGAACTAATTAAGCTTCATTAAATTCAAAACCAACATTCTTACAATATGAAGTATCATATATTGCATTAAAGCAATCGTTTTTTTTTATTGACGTATAATAGAATCAAAGTAGATATATACTCTGAATGTAAAATGCTTCATGCATCTGAAATTGAGGTAAACTAATTTGCTAAAAGGAAATGCGACAAGTCATGAAAGTGATAACGACTACCTATATAGAATAAATTAGAGGTATTAGCCGCTGAGGTAGCATTCGTTTCTAGAGTGTACCATTTAAAAAAAAAATTCTAGCTTAATTTTTCGAGAAGTCAAATCAGACTTACAGCAAGAGAGATGATTTCGAATTTATCTCTTCGCTAAAGAATAAGGTTTAAGAAATAAATTTCCTAAAGTATTCATAGAAAATGCTCAATATACTCTCTCTAAGGAAATACTCAATCGTAATTTTTCTATAAAGACTTTTTAGCATAGTAATTTGCTATTATATATAGAAAAGCAAGAATGCCAAAAAAAAGGAAACTTAAAGGAAGCAAATAAATATTCCAATATTTTAGAAGTATACTAATAGTTCAATAGTCTCAATAAATATTCTATATTTAAAAACTAGTTTCTTGGAAAAATAATATTCCATTTCAAACTACAAAAATATGAAGCACTCTTTTTTTTTTTTTTTAGTTTTCTCATCATATTTCTGGCCAAAAAGAAAAGAAGTTCAGTTCAATTGATTTTTTTTGATGGGGGATAGAATTAAAAAAAAAAAACGATCACAATAGACATTCTTTTTTTTCCACCACCAAACCAAGTGAGTGCGACCAAATTCATTTTTGTGCATAAATTAATTGACCGTGGATTTACATAATTAAAATGCACATAATATTCGTTGTTTGTGTGTGTGTATGTGTATGTGATTGTCTCAGGATTCATTGATACCTGGTTCAAGAAGGCTTAATTTGGCTGGCGATGCGTCTGTGTAATTTTGTTGACTCCTAGTTTTGGCACCACATGTCCAAAGACCTTCCTGTTCGGCAAGGGCATTTGTCAGTCTTGTACTGCAGTCACGATCCTCGGTGCCAATTGGAGGAAATTGTCTAACGACAACTGTTGTATTTGAATTTACCGGCGTCAATGACCATCGACATTGATCAACTGCCGATGATGTCACACAACGCAATTGAATACTTTTACCCGCTGATATTTGAAAGTCCTGTGACAATTCTGAGAATGTAATGTCCTCTGAAAATAGAAAATTAGGGGAATTTTAATTGTCAAAAGGCAATCTTTTTTTTTTAGTTTAGGTTTTTAAAAAAAAGTGGAATAGTTTTTTCTTACCTTGTTCGTACATTGTGAGTTTCACAATATGAGTAGATAAAATTGTATTTGATCCAGGTACTGAGACTTGACAGCTCCAGAAACCTTGTTCTTTAGCATAGACACGAGGTAGATTGAGACTACAATCACGACCAACTTCACCCTTACTGGGGAATTCGTGAACGATGATCTCATCATCGTTTCCGATTAAAGGCCTCCAACTCCAGGCACATTTTTCAACACGTTCATTAGTCACACATTTTAGAATGGCCTCAGTGCCTATTGGTACTGATGTATCTTCCGGCTTCTCAACAAAACTCACATTACCTGTGTCCAAAAAAGAGAAGCATTTATTAAATTTTAGTTATAGAAAGTATCGAGATGATATCGGACAAGGCAAAAATCATAAAAATTCTTCATCGGAAATATATTTCTCAATTTTTAATTTTTTTTTTCCTCACTCAATTGAAAGATAAGCCACGCCTTGAGGCCTTTCACATAGTTTGCTAATATTTTTCGCTTCCGTTGCCACCTCTTGTTTCATAATGAACCAAGGAATGTTAATTTCCAATTTTAGCATACATATAATATTGACTGCCAAGGTTTTCCATAATTTATATATATATATATATATATATACATATTTTACAGAAATATGCTTTGCCAATTAAGATGCATGAATTTGAAAAGAAGAAACGAAAAAGGGGGAAAATTTTTTAAAAAGAGGTACATAAAAAAGAGATATACAAGAGGAGATGATTCATACACTTCCTTATTCGTAACATCTGCGCAGAAAAAAAATATCGACAAAGAGATTATTATCGTATTATTATATTGATTTACTGTCGATTCGATGATCATCATCAATCGAAATTAAAGAAAGAAGTAACAAATAGTACCATTAATTATTGCTGTACTTAAAATAATAACTAATTTTAATAAGTCCTTTTCGTATAAAATTCATCATCAATACTGGTTAATTGTATATATAGTAAAAAGGAAATAACATCAATCATTCATCATCAATAATTCCGACTTGGTAATTAGCATATATACCATAATTAAATTGGCGCCGTCTACAATGACTAAGAAAAAAAAAAAAAAAATTGCATCATAATTACCAGTAGGCAAAATTGTCACAGTTGCAGGTGGTGCTTCATGAAGAATTCCATTTGTTGATAGACGAACGCCACACGTCCATAGGCCCTCTCCTTTATGTATAACATTTTTAAATTTCATTGAACAGTCATGTTCAGCTTCTTTACTTGGCGTGAATTTATTCACCACTGTTCGCTCCATACTTGAATTTAATGGCTTAAAAAACCATTCACATTGGACCACTGGTTTGTTAACGAGACAGTGAAGAAATACCGTCTCACCTGATGCTATTTTTAATCCACGTGATAGTTTTACAAATTCAACTGAAACATTATTTAATCTTTTACGTTCGAGAAATATTATTAAAGAAATTGAGGTTCTATTTTTTAAATTGTAGAAAAAATAAATTTTGAAAAATCGGAATATTTTTTCTCAACTACAGATATTGTACTGTATAATTGTGTTGAAATAGAATTGAAATTATATATTATACCTTCGGATATGAGTAATCGAATAGGATTTGCAAAAACAAAGGACGAGTTGATGTTCATTCGAGCACCGCAGGTCCAGAAACCCTCTCGATCATGTAGAATGTTCTTGAACTTGATGCTGCACTCGTTGCTCTCATTCCCGAAGGCCTTTAACTTCTTCACCTCGCGATTCCAAGGTTGTGACTGGTTCAACCGCCGCCAAGTCCACTGACACTCGTAAACAGGGGTCATTGTTCGACACAATATCTGTGTCGGCGATCCGGCAGGTGCTTCAATCGTGCTGTCCTGATTTTCAAAAATAATCGGCTTCTCTGCAACAAAATCAATTTTTATATTAAAGTCTATAGTTTATTCGCATTGTTTTCATCAATACAAAAGTTTCTTCTTTATGGCAATTCATATATTTATTTTATATCGTCATATGTATATAATTTAAATATATATATATATACATACTTATCGCAGTGAATAGAAAACTAGTAAATTGGAAGTTTATGAAAATTAATGGTTAGATGATTTCATGATTGATGATGTGATATAGATGAATTTAAATGGAAAGTGAATAACATCCGGTAAGAAGGTGTTAATTAAGAATTAATTGAAATTTCACAAAATGATCAAAACGCTACACACATATATAAATTGGTTACTAGACTGAAACTTTGATTGTATATTTAATCATTTTGCTCGAGGAAAAAATCTCGTGCTCTAAATTTCTCGAAGTGAAATTTTTGTCCTCTTGAGAGTGAAAATTGAGCGAGAGTTTAAATTTCTAGAATTTGAAGATTCGATAGAATTCCAAAAGTAATAGTTAAGTATAGTGGATTTTAAAAAAATGTAGTAGAATAAACAAACCTTTGGTTATTTTAGCAATGCTTAATTTTGCCGGTTGTGTACTGATAAAGGAATCATTTTTCGAAATCCTAGCAGCACACGTCCAATAGCCTGTTTGTGCATGTTTTGTGCTTGAAAATCTCACTGAACAGTCATTACTATTGTTACCAAAAGCTGGAAATTGTTGAAGTGGTAAAGAAGTTGCTTGTGTTGTTGTTAGTGTGGACGTTGTACTCACTGAAAACGAATTCAGATTTTTCTTTATTCATTTTAACTATCGTTTCTAAATTCAATTGTCAATGGCTTAAAAATAGTCTATGCTAATTATAATAATTTCAATTAATAAATAAATACTCACAAGTAGGAACAAAAGAATTGTCATTGATTTCCGGAAGTGGAAAATGTGTTGAAGGAAGTGGTCGCCAGGACCATTGACATTCGGTTACTGGAAATGCAGTTCTGCATGATAATACAACAGGGGCTCCTAATTTTGTTTCCGTGTGTGCAGGAACATCGACAAAAATAACAGCAGGTGTCGGTGGTTTTGTTCCTGGCAGAATGTCATCCATAAGATGACCCTCCACTTTATCTGTTGCTGTTGATATTTGCGTTGAACTTTCCGTATAATTTTGATCAAAAATTATTGTTGTTGCATTCTCCTCCAAAATTTTACCTGCATTAATTTTAAAAATTCGAATATCAATAATTTTTAATTAACATTAATTGAATAGATAATAGTAGTTCTTATAATTATTAATTATTATTTAATTTAATTAATATTAATGAACAATTTGGCTTTGCTTTATATAATTTTCTGTCTATATATATGAATTACTCAAATCATGTAAAATAAAGAAAAACGGGTTTCAAATCATTAGTCTGCGAATAGTAATTTTTTGTTTTTCTTTATTATTCTTTTATTTTATCTTCACAATAATAATTGTTGGATAACTGTGTCTTATTGTAAAAATTATTGCAAAACACTATTGATTTCACTTAATCAAACACAATCTTTAAAATTGCATATTCTATGTACATATGCGGTTAGGAATATTAGCATCTTCTGTTTTCTTCCTTCTACACATAAAATACACATTTTTTTATTAATTGATTTTATTGAATTGAATTTTTTTACCTGAAAATTTTAGCATTGAACTCAGAAACAAAAGTTTACGCACTTTTTTTTTTTTTAGTATAACTTGTTTTAACTTTTAATATTCTGTGCTCCATTTTAGGGAAATTGTGTCATTGAGAGAATTTTTCGTACTCTATATATTAAATAAGGTCACATTCATGACAGTTATCTGTCCGTATCATTTATAAAAATCTCGAAAAGTGCATTGAAGTGTTGATATGAATACTAAAAAAAAAACATTTGAATAATTTCTGTATTCGATACAAATACCATTTAATTGATTCAAATAATAATTATTTAATTAATTTTTAGTATAACTTAAATATTCATTAATCGATTAAATACGTTACGATATACTATTTTAAAAGTGAATTAAAAAAAAAAAATTTTGTGGTCATCTATATAGATCGAAAGCTTTATGATATTATAATGACTCACGAAGGAATAAATTCCTGGCGCACGCAAGAGTCGAGACAAGTTAAAAACCAGTAGTTAAGTCGTGCTCTAATTCAGGTGCGTGAGATCGGCATAATTTCTCGAAGCCGGTCCCATCGCCGTGTTGGTATCTATATATATATATATAAGCGAAAATCATCAGGTCGCTCCTTATGTTAATGACACACACACACACATACATATATATATATATATATTCCATGAAAGTGATTGCCCTTGGCAATATATTCACAATATTCGAACACATATTTTATAACCGGTCAATGCGTCACACTCTCAAGTTATCCTTATGAAAGAATTTGTTAATCGGATGCAAACGCACTTGCCACATTTTTTTGTTTTAAATATCATCTTATCGTCAGTTTAAAAACCCATGTATACTTTTCTGCACGCGATATATAAAATTCCTCAAATATCCCGGGAGTATAGAGGAATTAAATTCGCAAAATTATATATGAATATTTATATATTATTTACTTAATTGCTATATACATCTATATCAAAAATTCTTGTAACGTGATTCATTCGTGTTAATATTGGCATTTAATATTTTTTCCACATTTTTTTTTGTATTGTTTAAAAATATATTTTAATTCGAATTAATTACAAAGATAGAATAAGAATTTTTTTAAAAAAAAGTAATGGATATTTTTATACATACGCATTTATGTTTTATGTATTTGAGTAAATTAAAATATTCTTTTTTTTCTGTAATAAAAGATTAAATAGTAATTATAAAAAGACAATGCCTGGAATGGTTGTATAAATATTTTTAAATTAATTATATTTTTAAATTTTTCTTTGTAAATATGGAATCTGAGAAATTTTGGATTTTTACACCCAGAGAAATGTTTTATTTGAACCAAATATTGTATATTTGAGTTAAATAAATGTATATTTGTCTCAGAGCCCACTATCCCATTTATTTGGCATAAATAAAAAATTTTGTCATAAATAAAATTTTTATTTAAACCAAATAAAAATTTATTTGCAACAAGTATAAATATTTATTTGGCTCTGAAACAAATATATAATTTCTTTGGTTATATACACGCGTAGATGAAGTTTGCTGTGGCAGTGAATTTTTTTTAACATTATTGTTTTTCCAATACTCTTATAAACCGTAATTGATTTTATACTTTTTTTTCTCCTTCGTCGTAATCTAATAAATATATCATTTTCTTACATAAAAATTTTAAATTAAAAAGGGAAACTTGTAAATTAACTTGACTTAGTCACGTTAATGATTACAATGAAAGATACTAAAACCTTGTTTGTAATATTGGTCAAGGTGTAATTTTTCTGTTCATGAAGCCATTAATATTCCCATTTAAAAAAAATGTGCATCTCGTTAAAAAAATGTCAGTTTTCAAAATAATCTTTAGTTAAATTTTTTTTTAAAGTAGTCTGTTGTCTAATTATTATGAACTCGGTTATTGCTTTTTTTTTTGAACATTACATTTAGCATGCGACCTTGATAAAAGTCCTTGCCAAGGTCTTTGTCATCATAATATAAAGAATATAAGAATAAAAGATACTATGATCATACATATGTGTGACTGATATTTATTTTAAATATATACTATTCTATTTATAATACAACTTGAATAAAAAATAGTTTCGCGCACTGAATTGAAAAATTTATTTTGATTCAAATATAATCGATTATTACTATTATTATATTGATAGTATATAACTATTACAATCGGTTAATTGAATAAAATAATTTCTTTTTCATTATTAACAGATTATTTTTTAAAAATTTTGATTATAATTTAAAATTGAATATTTGCAAAAAATGGGTTTATTTAAAAAAAAGGGCGTAATTTAATCAAATAACTAACTATATAGGATAACATATAATTTTGCCGAGAAATCATTTGACCATGTGTCTTGTAGTCAAGTCACGGTCAAGGTTTTAACTCTAGAAAGTGTTTGCTAGTCTTCAGTCATTCAGATTGAATTAATTATTTTTTCGTTACTTGATTTTTTTTTACTATTAAACATTTTTTTTTACACTCAGAAAAAAATTTGTTTGAAGCAACCAAAATTTATTTTAAAAAGTGTTAAAACAAATTTTATTTTGTATTTGTAACAAAAAATTTTTGTTTTAGATTAAATAATTTTTAATTCAGAAAAACGAGTCGTTTTTAATTAAATATAGATACAATTAATAATTGGAAAATGTAGACAAATTTTAATTTTTTGTTTGAGATTTTGGTAGTGGGATATTATGTTTGTTTTTTTCTTTTTTTTGCACATATGATAGATGACAATTTTATTGTATGAGTTTAAACAAGATGTTAATTAAGAGAGAGAGAGATTCTTTATCTTTGGTCATTTATTTGTCGTGAACAATGCATTTTGGAGTTTCAACGGCGGACCAATCGACAATATAAAAATATATATATATATATATATATATGAAGGAGCGCGCATCCTGTATTACGTAAATAAGTTAGTCACTTGAGTCTACGCGAACTGTTAATTACGTAAGCAATTTCTGTTGACGTGATAGTCCAATCGTTAAATCAACTATATACGAGGTTCCTATTATCAACACGTAATATACTTCTCAAGATGGTCAATTTACAATTAGCAGTTATTTTAGAAAGAGCAAAAAAATCTTTCAATACACTCCCAACATCATCAATGATATTTCATAAAATTATTATTAATTATGATTGTAATCTAATATTAATTTTTATTTTGCAATATCTTTGTTCATATGTATCTGGGTCGGGTAATTGCAATTAATTTATAACTGTCGACTGTAAATGGTTTCTTTATATGTATCATATAATATAACAAAATCTTATAATTTGCTATTTAAAAATAATCATATTTCTACTAAAGTTGAAAAATTCAAAATTTGAATATAAATATTTTGATGTCTCAAAATTGAAAATGTAGCCTCTTTTCCATGGCTTATAGACATAAGGAACTTTGACTTTCCAATGTTTTATCTTTACTGCAGTGAAACCAAACGATAGTTAAACTACTTTCATCCCAGTTACACGCGTTACACTTAGAACCAAATTAGGTGTCATATATGCATTTACAGAAAAACTTGATTCTAAATGCGCGTATTCAGTTTTTTCCCCCTATCTTGAAAACAAATTTTTTTTTTCCAAAAATTTTATTAAATAATACATTTTTTTGTTTAAAAAAATTAATTTTCAATTAACTTTCTTTTGATTGAATATTTGAGAGAAAAAGAAAAACATGTGGGAACATACATCTGAACATTCTTCGCAAGTTAATAAAAGAGTAGGAGGACTAAAGAAATAGGATTGATAGAAATTTATGTGAATTAATAGAAATTCACGGAATGCCTAAACATGATAAAAAACTTTATCTTGGAATAGAATTTTTCAATAACAGCAGAATTTATAATTTAATACAAGAAGCGAAATTCTTTATTTAGAAAAAAAAACAAAATTTCGAAATAAAATTAAAATTATATCGAAAAACTTAATAGGTATATAATAAGTTTCTAAAAAGTGTTTAAAAAAATTCTAACCATTGCAAAGCGCCAATATTCCGTGAAGAATGATCAAGATCATCGTTCTTGAATGATCCATTCCTGGTGTTGTAAATTTAGACATTATCCAAAAAAAACAATTTCACGCCTTTTTCTCATGGGTTTTTTTTTCTTCTTTCTTCCGTGATGTATTATACGTCACTTCTCTTTTTTCAAGTTATTTTTCAAAAAAAAAATATATATCACACTTTTTGGATTAATTAACTTTCTAGATCAAAAATCACAAAAATTATCCGTGAATTATATTATTTTGATTATTATTGATTTGACTTCACTTTTTTTTCTGTGACACGTTTGACTTGTGTGTTGTATGCACGATTTGGTCTATACTTCCGGTAGCTTCAAAAGTTTTCACTTGTGATGATAATAAGATTACCGGCCGCGTTCCATTTTTGGGGGAATTCCCTTCGTCATCAATATAAAATTGTAAAATTTGTAATTTCCACCAATTTTTTTTTTTTTTTTTTTTTTTAATATTACATATTACAATGGTTTTTGTTTTATTATTTACTACTTTAAATTCAGAGCAGTAAACTCGAATAACACTGATCACTGATAGGTATAAAATATGCTCTTGGTTTTTGTAGTAAAGTCCTTAGTCTGTTTTTTTTTCGTTTATTAATTCCAGTTCGTGTTTTAAAGTCTAGGTCGCACGATTTTCTCGTGCCTACCAGTCACTTGACGCACTTCTTTTTTAAATATATAGAAAAAAAAACGTTTCGTGTTAATGAATTATTACATCTGTCGTAAAAAATCAAGCATTATTAACACCAATATATATCAAAGAAAGAAAATTGTAGAAATTATTATAATGAACGAAAATGAAATAATGAGAGATTGTTTCTTCACAAAATGGTACATAATTTTTATCAATTTTTTTATATATTTTTTTTTAAACGATTAATAATAATTAATAATAATTATTAAAATTATTAATAATTATTATAAAAATGATTAATAATTTTGATTATTATTAAAATTTGAAAAATTTGTTAATGTCGGCGTTTGATTAGAAAATTAATGTGTTATTAATTAAAAATTTGTATAATTAAATAATATCAAAAAATTTATTTCCCCCCAAAAAAAAGAAACGTTCGTGGCTATTAATTAACCTTGAGAAGTAAGAGCTCAAGTACGTATAAGATTTTATATATGTGAGTAATATAATTTTCTTATCAAGTGAATAGTAAATGCAAAACTTTAGCTTAATAAATGAGTTTAAAATAAAAACAATCGATATAACATATTGTCTCTGGCGAATTTGATTTTTTTTCTTATTGATTGAAAGGGATTCTTTATGGTTCGTTTTTTTTTCTTTCGAGTGATATATTATCTAGTACCAATAATTTTAAATTGATTTCTATACATAGATTCATACACACATATATATATGTATATATTTACAAGTAGCACAGTTATTGAATATTGTTTGCATAATAAACAGCAATTTAGTTATGTATTCATTATCTCAAGCATCGTGTATATTCCGTTACGATATTATTTGCATGCTTTAATAAGCATTTAATTTTAATGTAATGAGGATTTAGGCATTTAATTTTAATCTATACATAGTGAGAATCGGGCAAATTTTCACTTTATAATTTCAATTGTTAAAGTCGTGACAAATTAATAGGAAATATCAGTGACATCAACTTCTTCTTGGAAAAACGTTTTTAACATAACGTCATTTGAAAACGTTTAAGAGGAAATAAAAAATGTATGTTTAGTTGAGTAACACGAAAGAAAGTATTTAAATGAGATATTTTTCAAAGAAAACATTTTTTTTTAAAAAAAAGTTATTTTTTGAACTTTGATCACGAAAATACAATTTTTACACCGTACATACTATAGATAAAGAAATATTATATACTCACTATATAAAAATTAATTTTTAATTAACTAAATATTAGTAATTATTATTATTTTTAAGAAAATAATAATTATTTTTCGAATGTTGATTAAAATAAATTTTTTTTTCAATATAGAGCAAACAAAACAATAATGAAAGGAAAATTTTTATTTTTTGAAAATTACACAACTTGGTAGCAGGTGTATAATTTGTATAATTTTTTTGTGTATATAATTTGGGTTATATGTTAGAAACATAAAAAAAAAAAAAAAAAAAAATTTCCTGACAATTGTGTATATGAATCTGAATGAATGTATATAATTGAAGTGAGATAATATCAGTCACACGTCAACGAGGAATAAATAATGAAAAAATTGTAACACATACACAATGACACTTTTATATTAGAAAAAGAAGGGAGAGCTTTACCTTCTTTAACAAAAAAAAAAAACTTATTTGGAAAAAATGAATTTTTAAAAAAAAAAAAAGAAATAAATAACAAACATTAAATATGAAAACTATACACGGGCAGGAGCTCTGAAAATCGCAAGTCGCGTATTCGATGTTGCGCGCGAGACTGCATAGACGGACGTCCATGGGTTTGCGTATAGTTCGCTTTAAACCCGTGTGGGGGTTAATTGGGACCCCTGCACAGCAAAATCCTTTCTTTCCGCGATGGTACGATATCCCGTTGTCGTCATTCTCGTCGTCGTTGTCGTCGTCGAGAAGTCGCGTCGTTCTACGATGGAACCACTGAGAGAGAAAGAGAGAGAGAGAGAGAGACACAGAGAGATATGTGACCCCCTACAACACCCCCTTTTTGCGTGCCGATGAGATCAAGAGACCGGTGAGAGACCAAGGAATTTGCGAGAGGAATTCGATCGGCATCCCGATCGTAATGGGCCTCTGGATTCTGCTCCTGGGTCCTTTTCAGATCCCTCTCTCACAATTAGATCCTATATATATATAAAGAGAGAGAGAAAGGAGGCACGTCCTTTTGTTTTCATCTTCACGTTTCCCGCATATCTTTTTTTCACTACTTACATTTGTAGTTTTTTTTGACAAAGAATCTTGATTATTTTTCTCCTACTCTCTAAAATTTAAATTAGCAAAAAATGTTATAGATACTAAAAATTTGAATTAGTGATTTTGTTTTTAGTTAAATTTTACTAATATATTAGTAAATTTTGACTAATTCGTTACTACTATACTAATTAAGATATTACTACTAATTAATTTAGTATCGGCTCAGTTGAATTAGTCAAAAGAAATTAATTTAAATGAATAAATCATTGAAAATTGAATAAACAATTTTCTATCCAATATATCAATTTAATTTAGTTAATAATAATAACTAATTTCAATTATATAGAATAATACTTGTCTAAATCACTGTTGACTAATTTAACTGCGTCTAAATTCGTTTATTGAATTATTTATGTAGTAATCGTTTTCCTTGTATTAAATGGATTTCAACACTTTAAATGTCTAGAACGTAATTTTGTGAATTGTAACTAATTTATGAAATTGGTGGATACATATATATTTTTCACACAAATTTTTGTTGTACATTTTTCTTTAACTTTCATGAAAAATGATGTTAAAGTCGAATGTAAAATAACTTTCATTTTTTATTACCGTAAATATTTGTAGAAATATTTATAATATATATATAGTGAAAACATAATTAATGAAATTTAATTGAAATTAAGTCTAATAAAATTGTCATTAAAGTGAAAGGAAAATGTACTAAAAATGAAGTCTTCTTTTTCTCTTTGAGTAAAGTTATTAGGTAGATAATTAATTATAATATTATAAATAATTAAATTATAAATATTAATTATTTAATTATATATAATAATAATATTTGACACAATACTGACATAATTTAAATAACAATTTTTTTTTTTAATTTTTCCGAAATTCTATAATTAACTAAAATAACGCACTTCACTTTAAGTGAGCGCGAAAAAGTAAAATATTATTATTTATTACCTACATGTGAATTTTTTTAACGAAAAGGAAAAAGAAAATTTCTCTTTGAAATTTACTGGTTTAAAAGAAACTTTTCAAGTGTTCTCTCCCTTATTGGAAAGAGATAATCATAAAATTCACAATATGATTCATGACTTGTACATACCGTCCAGAAGACCTTAAAGAAAATTTATGATGAGTTTAATATGTTGCTAAGAAGATATCTTTCAAGGGAAGACAATAGGTAGTTTACGCAGTGACGAGGCGATGATTGCTATTCGAATATAACTATAAAAAGATTGACTTTCAAAAGAAACATTTTTTTTTTCATGTGTTTTTTTATTTTCAAAATATACATTATATCGATGATACTAAACAATATGTGCCAGCTATAGACATTTTTATATAGTGTTTGTAATAAATGTAAATAGGTCACTATGTGACAAAATAAGAATTTGAATAAGATAAGGAAGTATCGGAAGAATTTATAAAAAATATAATAAAGTTTTATATGCTCTGAAGAAATAATTTTACTTGATCTAAATATAGTCGATTCTTTGTGTATATTATCAAATAAATATTTATTTGTTTAAATAATTATTAATTTAGTCAATTGAATGGTATTTGTTTTAAATGCAGAAATAAAGTTTATTTGTTGAACTAATTGACATTTTTTTTTGTCAGTCATGAAAGTTTATTTTTTTTATTCGCGATTATATTTATAGCTGAAAAGTTGTTTGATCAATACTGTCACAGTAAATTCGATATAGCATTAGTGTGTACAGTATAAGTAGTATAATGAAACATTTTAATTTTTGCAAAAAAAAAGTTAATTGTTTTAATTATTTTCTTAATTAATTAATCAAAATTGAATATTTGGTTTTTAATAATTTGTAGATTAGACTTAATAATAAGTAAACTAATAGTAATATTTTTGTTTTAATTTTTTTTTAATGTTTGAACATTCGATATTTTTAATTTTGTTAATTTTTTGAAAACTTTTGTGTAGTTTTGATATCGACTCAAATTTATTGTTCAATGTGCTTTAATGTACATATATATAAGAAAATGCAGCGTCTAATCAGAGACGATTCAGACGTTATTGAAAATTGTAAATACTCTAATAAAAATAAATGCAATAGAAAGGATTTCTGCAACAGAGCGCATATAGCGGTAAATATTACCTTTCTGGATAGGCGATGACACATGTTATTATTATAAAACTATCATTCCTTCTCTAAAGTTAGATTTGTATCTGATGTCACTATAATTAATATCAGTCAATGAGATAAACTCGCGGTTATATATTATATAAAAAAAATACTATTTTATGCATAAATATTTATTTATATACGCGGGAAAATGTATGTTCAATATTTAAAAATATTGCGACTAGAGAAAGAATCGGACAAACAATTAAAAAGCGTTATAGTAAAAGTGTAAATAAGTTTATAAAAATTTCTATTATATATTTATTTCAGATGGACTTATATTTTAATTATAATTCCCTCTGTTAATACCTCCATTTAAAATTCAAAAAAATTAAATTAAATTTAAATTTATCTTATAAAACAAGCATTTTTTTTCTTTATTTGGGATATATTTAAATTCCAATCACATCAGACACTTTTTGGTACAAGAAGGCTACACGTTCTGATAATCAACTTATAATGTAATAGTCGACCTTGATTGCGTACCGCAAATGTCCTTGAACTTGCAAGTACATCAAAATGAACTTTGTAATTTAATTCTAAAACAAATGTCCTTTAAATTCTTAAAAAAAAAATATTTAGGCAACATTTTTAATGCAATATTAAAAAAAGATTTTGTTATTTTAAATATGCTCTCGTGTCGTGATTATAAAAATTATTATAGAATATATAGATTATATTTATCATAGAATAATAAAAAAACCTATAATATTTTCGTGTGTCATTGTTTAAAAATTTCTGAAATGTTTTTATATTCACGTCAAGAGTTTTTTAAAATAATATTTTCTTTTTTTATCTCGATAGTATTTAATAATTGAAACAAATATATTAAAAAATGCGTATAATTGATTCACACTGAATGAATCATTAAAAAATGTTTTATCACAAAAAAAAGAATAAATAAATGTTGAAAAATGTAATTAATTATTTTCATTAATTAATTATATTTCCATATACACCCTTTTTATTTATCAAAATATTAAACGTATTTTCTTTGTTATACATATATAAAACGTAATTAATAATTATATCTTTTTTTTTATTTTCAGATACCTGATCCAGAAAAAGGAAAATTATGCTGCCATATCAACAAAAGTAGTGAGTCTTTTTTCACATTGTTTAATTTTATAACAAATTTAAAAAATTATTTAGAATTCACGTAAATTATCTACTATTTTGCAAACTGAAAAAAATTAATTTAATTTAAATAATCGGTTATTTGATTATCATATTAAAGTAAATATTTACTTGTAACAAATAATTTTTATTTGGATCAAGTAAATTGTATTCGGTTCAATAATTATTTATATTAATATAGGTACTAATTATAAATATTAATACTTATATATTAATATTTTTATTAATTATCAAATAAATTAATAATAATAATTTTATATAAATAACTATTTATTTATAGTAATAAATAATCGATTATTTGAATCAAATAAATGTTTTTCTTCAATGCAATTAACTCAATGTGCATTTTGCACTTCCCTTCATTGACAATAAAAGAGTTGAAAATGAAAATTATGGTCATGAGGCTGATACCGCTCATCTATCGAGAAATTATAGTTTTTCTCAACTATACCTTGCATCCGGTTTCGTGTACATGTAATAATGTTTTTATAAAATTTACTCCTATGATGATGCATTTCCATTGTATACATCAGAAGTGAGAACTCTTAAATACTTTAAAGACATTTCATTTACAAACATTGTAATGGCCAATTAACAGCAAAAAAAGAAACATTTACAAATCATTTATCCATTTACATTAATAATTGGAAATTAATTACTTATATTTTTCTCGTGTATAATTATAATATAAGTGTTGGGAAAAATTAGTAATATAAAAAAATTAATTTTATATTAAGAGGAAAATCCCTCTGTCCTTTTAAAACAAGAAGTTCTTACAAATAAATTTTATTCTTATTTTGAAATGTAGAATTTAACAAAAAATTTATCTGAATATTTGAAATTTTAATACTCTTTGACTAATTTTTATTTAATTCTATATGTAAATAAAGAAAGATCTATATCGATATATGATGTATTGATCTCTTTAGAAATTTATTTATATGCAACTAATTAAAATTACATTAGGAGTTTTCAAATACAGTAATTTTCCATATGTAGTTCATATTGTTGATGATAATTTTGATAATTTTTGATAGATAAATAACAGTTTAACTATAAATAATTGCGAACTAGCGTGAAATAAAACAATTACAAACGTTGGCAAATTATTGATCGATAATTTTCACATGCACACATTTATGCATATTATACAGGTGATTGCATCGATTTGCGACGCTACACGGTCGTTTCATATTATATTGATTAATTTTGCAATTAATATTATTCATAATTATTTTTATTACTGTACTCATTTCATGAACATATAAACGCATGTATTAAGTAATCTTTTTTATATATTTATACAAAAAAAAATTATTATATTATTATTATTATTTAAATTTAAATTAAGCATTTAAATTCTCATTTTAAGTGTTTCTTTTATATTTTGAATGTAAGAATAAATTTTATTCCAAGTATTTTAAAATAGATGCTAAAAATTTAGTCGCAATTTGTTGATTCATTAAACTTAAAACTTATCAAAACTATAAACAATACATAATATGTGACAGAATAAAATTTCATGAGATGAGAACAATAAGATTATTATAAATACACCTACATAGAACTATATATGTGATTTCCTTTTTTATTCATTATTTTTGTTATTTATTTATTTTTTTTGTTGCTTGCAATATTCTATATAGTAATGCACAAATTAAGATTTAACGAACAATTATTTTAATTGGAATAATGATAAGAAACAATTAAATGGGATTATAATTGGGATTAGGATAATTTAATATAATTTTGTTGTTGTCTCGTAAAAATTTTTTTCTCAGAAACATCGTTCAAGAAATTATCATTAATTATAGAGAAAAAACGTTTCATTCTTTAATGAAATTAATTTGAAAAGTAACACGAAATTTTCAAGTTTTTCTTTATAAAAATATTGATTAATTTTTGAATGAATGATAAACATTTTTTTAAAGTATTTTTTTTTCTTTAGAATAATTTTAATAAAAGACACATTCTTTTTGTCAAATATAAATGGAATTAAAGAGAAATAATTTTTTTTTTTTCAAAATATGAGGAATTTCTTTATGAGTCATAAACAGCACGGATAAGGTCAGCAAAGTAGTGGAATATCCTACTTTCGAAATCTATATATGCTTAGATATTACTAATGATTAGTAAACCGGACTAGATTGTTTCGATAGATCGATTGTGTAAATACGCGAAGAAAAAGGAATTTTTTTTATTAAGAATATTCGCTGCACAATTAATTTAACACGCGAAATTGATTTTATTAAAGAATTTAAGAAAAACTAGACAATATATAATTTGGGGTAATTTATTTAAAATTAAAAGTAAATAAATTATATAACTACAAGTAAATATTTTATACAAAGGAATTATTTTTTATTATTTTCGCTAGAAATAAAAAAAATAAATACAAATTTTTTTTAATAATTTTAATTTTTTTAAATAATACAAAAAAAAATTTTTTTTGATAAAATTCATTTGATTCAATTTTCAATTTATTACTCCTGATGATAGGCAATTGCACCTACATCTGTGTAAAGAATTGTTTAATTTTGAATTCAAATTAAATTTGTAAAAATTATTAAAAAATTTTTTTTTAATTTTATAAATTTTTACCTGACATTTTTTTCTGTGATATATTAGCAACAATCGGTTAACTATTAATATAGAAATAATAGTAATTTTCGGGATTTTTCGAATTTAATTTCAATTGCGATGGTAAAGTAGATCTTTCAGATGGCGCCACAAAATGATAAATAAAAAGCCACGTGCGTTTTTGACATTTGAAAGACGTTTTGTTTAGAAATAGTGTCAAAAGTAATTGTCAGTTATATGTAAAAATGTGAAATAATTGAAAGTTGTCGTTAAACGGAAGTAAATAATTTGAGATAAAAGTAAGCGAATTAATAGAAATATATTAATTTACATTTTTAATCATGAAAATTTATGTTACAACATAACCTTAAAATTTTTTTGGTAAAATTAAAAATTTTTCTTTTTTAGAAACAATTTTTAATTATGCTGGATAAGGAATTTTTACGAGCATCACAAAAAGGAGATTTATCAAAACTTATTAACCTAAAAAATGATATTAATGATTGGTCATTAATTCGACATAGTTCTTCGGGTGACAGTCCCTTGCATATTGCAGCACGTGAAGGTCATTTGGAAATTGTGCGATTTTTATGTGAAAATTGGAAAGAACAAAAATGCACGATTGAAGTTGTTAATCTTGAGATGAAAACTCCTTTACATGAAGCCGCACAATTTTCGAGAACTTCTGTTGTTGATTATCTTATTAAAAAAGGTTTTCTTAATTTTCTTTACTAATGTTTAAAAAAAAATTAACTTAACTTTTGGTTTAAAATAAATAGAAGAGAATTATTTCACTGATACCTAAATATTAGTTTTGAATAATAAATTCAAGGATGTCTGACTAGAAGTGACTATTACTACTGACAATAAAATGATAGGAATTTTGAAATGTTCTGACTGAAAATAACAATTACTGTATTTCTGAAAATAATTTTTTAAAAGGTTTTTAATATATCTGAAACTGAACTTTGTGATGCAAAAATTGAAGGATTTTTAAGTACGTTGTCTGACTTAGACTTGATTTTACTACTGACAATAACGTTACATAATTTTAAACATTTTGCCTGACTGCAAATTTCATTTACTACTGAAAAAAAATTTCCTTAGGCTTACTTTAATTACTGACGTAAATAACAATACAAAAACAAAAAAAATGACAAAATGTCTGACTGAAACTGTCTTCTACTACTTGTACAAAATTTATAAAATTTATAAAAACTGACTTACTATAGGCAATATCACAGAAAACTAAAAGGTATTAAAATAAGCTGCAACGCTTCTTATTTTAATCAAATTTTTCTTATTTTAATCCATTTTGGTATTAAAATAAGTAAAAATGGATTAAAATGAGAAGCGTTGCAGCTTATTTTAATACCTTTTAATTTTCTGTGTAAGATTGGAGAAAATTAAAACGTTTTGTCTGACTAAAAATGCCTTTTACTACTGAAACTGAAATTGCGAGAAATTGAAATCTTTTGTCTGATTAAACATGTCTTTTACTACTAATACAATTACAAAGAAAACTACATATACTTTTAGTACAAAAAAACTTTGTCTGATTAAAATCGTCTTTTACTACTGAAACAAATATTTCAAGAATTTCTATGTCTGACTTAATTTGACTGTAACTACTAGTTAAACAACTTGACTGATAAATAATTATATTACTGGTACAAAAAAACATTATGTCTGACTAAAATTTCCGTTACTACTTATTTGATTTAGTAATTTAATGTTACAGAATATGTCTGACTGAAACTAACCTTTACTACTTTCAAAATAAATTCATAAAAATTTTATTTATACTCATATGGAAAGGGGAATATTTTTAAATAGTTTAAAACCTATTAAAAATTTTTACTACCAAATAATTTATTTAGATGCAAATGTTAATACTTTAAAACGCGCTGATTGGACTCCACTGATGTTGGCTTCAACAAAAACAGGATCCGATGCTTATCACTGTATTAAATCTTTATTAAACGCTAATGCAAATTTATCTATTAAAAATAAGGATGGATGGACAGCCTTTCATTTGGCTTGTCGTTCGGCTGACATTAATATTGTGAAACTTTTATTAGAATACTCGCCAAAATGTATTGAGGCCAAGAGCAACAATGGACGAAATGCTTTACATATTGCTGGTAATTTAAATTAAATTTCAAATAAATAAATAATTAATTAATAAACAAATAATAAATGAATAAATTTTTTAATTCTATTTATTTTATTATTTTCTTATTTACAGTTTATTTGTTTATTTATAATTTATTGTTTTAGTCTTTTGATGATTATTTTAAAAAAATATATATATAAAAAATTTCAGCATTTCATGGATGCAAAAATATAATTGAATTATTGGCATCGAAAAATTGTGAATTATTAAATGCACGTGATTCGTCTGGTTCAACATCATTGCATGAATCGATAAAAAGCAAAAATTTAGAAATAACAAAACTTTTAATAAAACTTGGCGCTGATATTACTATTGTTGACGATGTTAAACAAAATATTCTTCATATTGCCGCTGCCGTGGGAAATATCGATACTGTTCAATACGTTTTGGAATGTAACTTGATCGACGTTCAATCAGAGGCTCTGTTTCATATTACGCCATTAGTTGCTGCAAAGCGAAACGCTCAATATGATATTGTTGAATTATTGTTAAAATATTCCTCTGATAATAAACGTGAAGATGTATAGATTTTAACTCAATATCAGTTACTTGGCAAAAAAAAAATAAAATTTAATTATTTGCAAAAAACACCCATGTATCGAAAAATATATTTAAATATTTTATAAACTAATTTTTTTTAAATTTAATTTCTATTTCTTTTTTAATATAAAAATTAGTTAACTTTTATATCACAGAAAAAAAAGTTGGGAGAAATAAAACAAAACGAAATGCAGTGATTCTTCAGAGATTGGTACACATATATTTATTCTGTTTTTGTTTCAGACAGTCTTAGAGAAGCATATAAAATGAATAAACAAGATTATTACAAGTCTGAAATTTTTTTTTTTTACAATTCTTGCATCGTTTCTTTTCATTGGTGCAAGTAGATAAATGAAACAAAAAAAAAAGTAACTCAACAAATCCAGAGTTCCACTTGTTCAAAGTTACAAGTTTTAAATAAAGTTTGCTCTTAAAAAAAAGAATTGACAATAATAAACGAAAAAAGAAACGAAAACAATTGACTTGAGAGAAAGAAATTAGGAGTCAACAAGAGAAAGAAAAATTAACTAACAAGAAATGAATAATAATAACAACAACAATTGCTTTTTTGTTTTGCATTCTCGAGCGGAAATAGAATATTAGCTTTATAAAAAGAGCATTGTGTTGTATTTTCGAAAAAAAAAAATTACCGTTAACTTTTCATTTTCAAAAGGATTCACATTTGACGCTCACATACTTTCTACCATTTAATTCTTTTTTTTTGGAGGACTCATTTATAAAATAAAATGAAAAGTTAACGGTGAATTTTTATTTTTGAAAAAAAGGAAAACAGTATCATTGTACATTTGTCTCTCTGGATTTAATGCGGCGCATATCGATTTTAAAAAAATGACGTTTTCGGCAGCATTTTGGTGAACAAAAAAAATTTTCTTTCGCCGTCGCCTCCTACTCTATAGTTGGAATCATTTTTTATTATATAAATATCCAATGATTATTTGGGACTTTTTTTTTTTTTTTTAGTATTTTTACCTCATGGCTTAATTATTTACATATACCAATTACATTTTCGGTACTTAAATTAATTATACGCGTCAATTGTTACGTTAACTTTTTTTGTTTTATTCACCATTCATACTTACATTACAAGTATTCAACCATTATGTACAATATTTACAGAGCTCGAAGAAACACTTCGACAATAACGCGATACATTAAATTATAATTTGCAACGCAATCGGCATAATAATTGGTTCCCTATATATGCACAGAAAGATCATTCTATGAATCTTATTTTTTTTTTTAATAGTTGTCATTATTTTGTCTTTTAAATTACATCTTTTCAAAATAGAAAAAAAATTCTCTTTTGAAAATTGTCTTTATTGCAAAACAAAAAGTTTTGACAAGAAAATTCTACCTAATCTAGAAATTTAAAAAAACCTATATTTTTTACAAAAAGTTTTACAATTTTACAGAAAAAAAAAAAAATTAGAAATAAATTTTTTTTTTTAGAAAGTTATCTTACAAAAGAAATTTTGTTAGTTATTTTACAAAAAGAATTTAGAAAATTATTTTACAGACAACAAAGTAGAAAGGTTATTTTACAAAAGAGATGTTTGTTTTTTTTTATATTGATTTTAAGTCTGATTTATATAATAATATAAATTGTCTTTCACAATGCTGCGATAGGTGCTTATATTTCAGTGCGAAAACACTTTTTTTTTTGGGAACACTTAACATTTAACACAGTTGTACGTCTAAATGCAGTTATTTTAATATCATATATCAGAGCAAAGTTTTGGTGGATAAATTGATTAATTTTGGAAATTAAATCAAAGCATCGATAATGAATCTCGAGAATATTATAGAATTATTATTTCCGAGAAATTTTTTTTCAAAAAGAAAATTCTTGTGTTCATAGATGTTCTCGAGCGATGCGTACAACGAGCATTTTTTTTCATAATTTATACATATTAAAAACGTTTTTTTTTAAGGAGTGTTAAAAAAATAAATATAGATACATTTTTTAAAAATTAGTAAAAAACAGTGACTATGTTTTGCCATTTCCTCAACGCTTGGAAAATCGCTTATTCTTACATCCTCCTCACACGCACGCTTGCGTCATTAGTACACGGTTTACATACATATACATACATATATATTTATTTATAAAAATAACATTCTGGGACCAAAACATAACATTCCAATGGGGAAAAAAAAGAAATATACAAAGAAACGTTATGCGGACGTGTTTCAATCGATAAAGAAAAAATCGTGTTTGTCTCTAATTTTTATCATCAAATTATAATGAAAAATTTTAATTAAATAAAATATATATATATATCACACAATCAGGGAGTGTTTGAAAATCGTATACAAAAAATTTCATATATAATTGAGAAAAAAAAATAAATTAAAAAACTAATAATTTATCTAATTGTTAATTTAATATTATTTTACAATAATCAGATTTAATAACATCTGAATTATCCTTTAACATATCACGTAGACAATTTTTAAGAATTCTTGTGCAAAAAGTAAGATAATAAAAAGAAATATTATAATTTTAGCGTCAATAAATAAAAGAAGTACAATTTATACAAAAGTTCTTACATTTTCACACTAAATCCGTCTACGTGTTTTTTGTTCATATTTTTTTTATCGATTGAAAACATCGCGGCATTATTGAAAATGAGTTTCGAAAAAAGTCAATTTCCGTTATTTTTGAACGAAATTATTTTTTAAAAATACAAATTATTATTCTGAAGAAGGATAAAATTATTTTAAAAAGTAACTTTTTTTTTTGTAAAACAAAAACTTAAATTAAAAGTAAACTTCTCTTTTATAGAAGAACAAAAATTTCGAATTCAAAATAGCGCAATTTGACTAAACTCTTTAAAACGGCATATCATAAACTAAGAAAAAAAGAAAACAAGATCCGATTGACAATCCTTATTGAGCTATAGGACAATGTCAATGGATCGTGTTTTATACAGTCACAGTTTTTTTTTTTTTTTCTTTTTTTGAAAAAACGATTGTACGGCGCACTGCTTTAAAAATTCATTCATCTCCTCCGAAAAATTCGCCTCGGAAATAAAAGAAAGATGAAGATTTTTTTTTTTTTTTTTTTTTGCGTGCGACTGGCAATCTTATAAGTTAATGATATTTCACGATAAGAATTTCGTGAATTTTGAATGCGATCAATTCCTAATGCACACGTTTCAATCGGTTTCTTCGATCAAGATACATGCGCATGTATCTTATACTCGAGAGAAAAAGGAGGTCCGCTAGTTATGATACAGGACTCGATATATATATATACTTAATCACAGATACACTCATTCGTTCCCAAGTATACATACAAATCGTTTTCGCAAAATAAAAAAAAAAACAAACAAAAAAAAATGTTCCGAGTAACATTACGCACACTTATCACACGCAAAATGCCCTCGTCCAGATAAGACAATTTTTTTTTTTCATTATTGAAGGAAAAGAATTTTTTCTTATTAAATTTATTTTTTTATTCACAAAACATTTTTTCATTTTATTAAAATTTGATTTCTATATTTAAATTTTATATTAATTTTATGTTTTGTTCTTAATTAATTTTGACTCAAAATAAAGAATTTTTCCTTCAAAAATTGATTTTTTTTGCAACTGTTTTTAGTTTTCTTGTTGTTGAAAACACAATAGTAATTTTTTTTCATCCATGACTTTTTTTATAAAAATAATTTCATTTAAAGAAAAATGTAAAAATTCTGAGTTGTTTTGTTTAAAGGTTCACTTATTCTTTTAGTCTATACAGTGTGTTGTTTTTATTTGTGTAACTACACGAGAGAAAAAGTGAATTACGAAACATTTTTGTAATTTTTATGAAGCTATTGTTAAAATTACATGATAGTACAGTAAATATAATGTTTGCTATAAAAGGTAAAATTTACCAAACTATCGTGTAATTTTAAAAAAGCTTAAAAAAAGTAGTTTCAAATGCTATTTTCCTCCGTGTATATTTTTCAAAATTTTTTGTTTCATTTTTGGTGAGTTGAAAAATTAGACTTTTCTTTGTACAGAACAATATTTGTTAGACTCACCGAAAAATTGTCGAAGATATTAAAAAAAAAAGAAAAAAAATTATTGAAATGTTTTCAACAAAGAGAAAGAAAAATATTGGACGATGGCAAATCAGTCGGCGTAATACCTCATTTCGACCCGCGAAAATATAAACGCCTATCTCTCCCTCCTATGGTCATAATATGGCTAAGATTCTCGGCAAAATCGTCTATAGGTATCGCAATTTTTTTTTTTTAACCAAACTTGAGCTACTCTTCGTCTACTTAAGCAACAAAACTCCTTAGGAAAATTCCTCAAAAATACTACAAGTTTTTTTATTTTTCAAATATTATCTCGCTTCAATTATTTTGAATTTTTAAACGAGATTATTGAAATTTACAAGAATTATAAAAAAAAGCTTTTTATTAAATGGTAGTAATAGTGGTAGTAGTAGTAATAGTAGTAGTAGTTGAAGAATTTTAACAAGGGACTCGTTATCAAGACGAAACTGCGGGCGATTTTCTTCAGCTCTTTCTTTCTGGCAAATTTTTTTTTATTTCGTTTTTCTTTTAATGACGATTTCCCTAACATTCGCTGTAGGATGGTGGGGGAATTCCGCGTCCTGTGTACATGTCAGTTTGTGGTTGTAAATGACAGACGACAGTGTGCCCATCGAGAACAGCAACTGTCCTCGTATGATCTTGTGGTGAAATTCCATAAGTTCCAGGTAATCGTGGCAATTCACCTAATTCATACCTGGCTTGTTGTCTTCGTATTTTCTCCCAACATGCATTTAACGATCTCTCTTGAGCTGGACTATATTCAGATGGATCATAATGAGCAATATTATTACGATCACCTTGCGTTTGTCCATAATGATTTAAATTATTACGATCATTAGCCGGCGAATATGGAATCAATGGCCTATGATCGCCATAGCTACGTGATGATTGTCTACTCATATCACTTTGTCGTCTGCCATCCTCATCTGACATGTCTGACACTTGAATTTCACCTCCACGTTCAATTTCCTCATAGACCGGATCATCCTCGCCCACAAGTCCTCTTGCCAACAGCATATGTTGACCATGATGATGATGACCGTGTAACTGATGATGACCGCCACCGGCGCGTCCATCGCGAATTTCCGTATATGTATGATTATACGGAGATGCTGCTCTTCTTCCAGTTGTCCTTGAGCCAACAAGATCATCAACACCACCATTTCCCGTTCGTCGTTCCCGCGTTCTTCCTGAGTAGCCCTGTAAGGTCATCGAGCCATGAGTACGTGGCGATTCCTCTTGTTCCGATCCTCCATGTCCAGAGTCACGGGAGTATGATTTAAAAGAAATGTTCTGTTGGAACAAAAAAACAATAGATATGAAATATTTTTATTCTACTTCCAAGTACTCTCGAAATCTATATCTTAAAATTCAAAGTCTTCTATCGAAAAATGATCTTTGCAAGCAAAAAAATATTTTCAAAAAAAAATTTGCTAGTTTAATAATTAGGTCAAAATTCTTTTCACCTAATTTCTATTTGGACTAGTCTTCAGTTAATCCAAGTTTTATTTTGCCGAATTTTAGTCTGATCCAAATTTTATTTAGGCTTATTTAATTCTGATGTGGCTAAATTTTTAATTCCAATTCTTATTTAGTCTAATTTTTATTTAAATCTCCCCATTAAGCATAATTATCATTTTTGACCTAATCCTCATTTAATCTAATTTTTCTCTAACTTCATTTCTGTTTGGCATAATTTTTATCTGGTAAAATTTTTATGTGATCTAATTTCAATTTGACATAATTTTTATTTGGCATAATCTTTCTGTAATCTAATTTTTATTAGACCTAATCTTTATTTGGCCTAATTCTCATGTTGACTAATCTTTATAGGACATAGATGCAAATGGAAAAATTAGATTTAATAAAGATTTTGTCATATAGGACCAAGATCAGATAAAGATAAAGTCGAATAAGAATTATGTTAATTAAAGATTTAGTCATACAAAAATTATGTCAGACAAAAATTAGGACAAATAAGATAATTAGATTGCAGAAAAATTTGGCTAAAGGAGAATTAGGTCAAATAAAAATTAAGCTAAATAAGAATTAGATTAATAAAGTGTTAAAAAAGAAATTACAAATTAATCTTTTCAAAAACAATTGAATTTTTCAGAGAGCATCTTAAAATGACGTTCTAATTACATTGATAATAGATTTAAAAAAATCATTTATTATAAAAATTCCAAGTAATTATTTTTAAAAAAGCACAATATTGGGAACAAAAAAAAGCTGCAAAATGATCAGTTTCTCAGTGACTATTAGTTTTAAAAAAACATTTTAGAAATTATATAATTCTAATTTCTAATAAATAATAAAATTAATAATTTTGAAGCAAGTCTAGAAGAACAATTTATTTCATCTCATTCAATTTTATTGAGAATTTTTATTTTTTTTTAGTCGAGAAAAAAAAATAACGAGATGAAATAAAATGTACTTTTTCATGCAAAAGAATAGCAGATAGGATGGAAGGTATTTTTTTTTTTTTTTTTGGTGCAACGGGAGTGAATTTAGCAGAATTTTTGGTGCTTGGATACAAAAAAAAAGAAGTAAAGTTATATCATATAGTATTAGTAGTAAAGCGTGGCTCTCGAAAAAAAGCCAAGAGTTAGTTACCTTCCACATGAGGTTTTTGTTAAGGGGTCCCCAGGTGGCAGTGGCAGATTTGGGGATATTGGGAGCTGAAGGAAAGAAGGCGTTACGGGCGTGGGGCAGCGTCGCCACAATATGATTCTCTGAAGTAGAACTTTCGTGTGGCACTGTGACTGCTGCTTGCCTATCAGCATTTGGCCAACCTCGTCCGGACACCAAGTACTGTAAACCAATGGTTAGCCATTCTCCTTAACTATTCGTGGATTCTTTATGTCCCGGTTGTACCTCGGCCCCATTTTTTCAATCAATTTTTTTTTATTTTCCGTTTTTAATCATTTTTTATTATATTTAACTAATTCTTATTTATCAGTAAAATAATTAGTTAATTATATAATTTGATTTTCAAAAATAAAATTAATTTGATTTTTAAAAATAAAATTAATTAAATAATTCGATTTTAAACATAAAATTATTTTTTTTAAATGATATAATTTGTTCGAATAAATCTTACTGAATTAAATTCATTGATTATGTAATTAACCCAAATTCTACTAATAAATTGACTAGAATTTAAATGTTAATTGGTTCATTAAGTTTTCAGAATGTTTAAGATAGAGAATATATATCTAGAGATAATAATTTCTCGTTTATTATTAAATTGTACTATTATGACTCGTTAAGCGAACTATTTTATCATTATTATTATTATTATTATAAGCGTATGATTCGCTTTAATTTAGAATTAAAAATTCCGAAAATTGGTCCTAATTTATCGAATTATTTCTTGAACAATAATTTCTCCAATTAACTAATTTCATCAAATTATTAACGTTTACTTTTATAATATATTTTATATTATAAATATGTACTGTACAATTATATTATTCATTCTAAAAAAAAAATATGTAATTTCCACGAAATTTTCCACATAAAAAAAGGTGAATATTGAAAAAAAAAATTGATTTCAAAATTTTAAGCAAAAAATTTCGGGAATATAAAATTTAAAAATGATTGATTATTATGATGAAATATGAAATGATAATATATAAATATGGTCTTGAAAAAGTATAATTTAATAATGATTTTGTGTCGCTTAGTATCAGAAGTTAATTTGTCTTGAAACTATACTGATGATTTTATCCCCGTTGCACATGGAAACATGTTGTTCGTGATAAGAGACGTGGATTCCAGCTTAGGCTTTGTGCAGAATGGAATCTACTACGATCTATAAAGAAGATACGCGACGTTTGCACGCACGCACACTTGTCCGAAAATTACTGAACGCGTCTCGCGTGACCTATAGAGAACGATCACGCGAGATTTTCTCGCGTGATAAACCGACAGCAAACGTTTTACCGAAGATTTAGGTAAGAAATTTGTAGTGCGCGCGCGAGAATCAGGTTGTTGCAATGCTTGAAAAAACAGATTGTTGCTCTATACAATATATATATATACAAGGACATATATATATATATATATATGAAAACGAGCGAAGAAATAATTACAAGGAAAACTTTAATTAAGAAAATAAAAGAATAGCAAATTACAAGAAAAAAAAAAGGGAAAAGTAAAACTTACAAAAAAGGAAAATTAAAAAAAAAGAAAAAGTAATTACAAAGAGGGAAAAATAATTACAAAAAAGGAAAAAGTTTCCTAAAGAGGAAAGAAAAAAAATTTTCGAAATAAAAAAAAAAATACAAAATTGTAGAATTTTACATTGGAAAGATACACTGGAATTTAGACACGAACGTAAAAATAGAAAGAATACTTGAAATTTAAACAATAACGTTTACTATTTAGTAAATTTTTCATAATTCTTAATATGGAAAATTACCCGAAAAAAATCAATTTCACCTAAAATACAGTAGTTTCAATAATTTTTCCAAAAATGTCGAAAAAGAATAATAGGGCAAAGTACAACAGTTCACGTTAAGTGAGAATGGATTTCATACATGTTGTCCCTCTTTCTCTCTTTCTGACATTGAATCGATTTGAAAAGTTAATCCGGAATGGCCTTTTCAGGTACCTGGTGTTGTAAAACTCGTCGAGAGGTCTTTCGGGTGACTGTATATGGAAGAGGCGTTGGGATATGTTGGAGCCAAATAGTGCCAAAAAGTTTTCCAGTTGCAAGTGTACAAGTTTCGAATGTAGTTTGTAATCGATTTCAATACTGTTAGCCATAGAGTTTCAAGCAAAACTCCTTTGGCTTCGTATCAACTTTGAAAATTTCCAATGAAAGAGAGTATTTTTCACGTATAATTTCAATTTTTTTTTTGCAAAGAACATTCTTTCTTTTTATGAAGAAAATATATGTTTGTTTGCAAAAAAAAAAAAAAGGAAAACTTGACTGGAAATTTTTTTTTGGCAAAATTTGTGTTTTTTTTATGGCGTGCGTGCATGAGTGAGAAATGCGTATTAGCTTTTTTGTATTTTACAAGTGCGATCCAAAAAAAAAAGAATAGTAATAATAGTAAGGCAACATTTCAAAATTAACCATTTTTTCCTTGTTAATTATCCCAATGAAATTTTGAAATGTTGCCTTATGATTGTGATTTTGGAGCCAGAGAAGAACAATTTGCAAACTTTTCTGTTTTTGACATTTTAGAATTTGTATTTTTCTAAAAAAAATTTAATTTCTTTATATTTTTTGGCTTTATAAGTCGAAATTGCTCTTCTCAAGTTCCAATTGCTTTGTACATTACGAATCTTTCAAAAGCACGGACCAGTTCCTTACTGGTTTTTCTCCGTAATAGGAAGAAAATATTTGCGGTTCTGTAAATCGAATGGATAAACCGTTTGGGAACATAAATTTTGTTAAGTGTTTTTTTTTTTTTTTTTTTTTTTGTATTAAGTGCGAACAAAGTAACCGGCAACCGCGTACACCAAACCCCGCCGCAAAAGAAGCATAACAAAATCACCTTTGGTTAGTAAGAGATCTTGTTTGAACTTTGTAAACTAGTTTGTACTCTTGTGTATGTCTAGCGTGTGATAGCTTTTTGTGCATCTAAAAGTTTTAGAATTGTTTTTTTACTTTGTTTTTTTTTTTACAAAATTTACAATAAAAAATTAAATTTTCTCATGCGGGTGAATCAATCGCGTAGCCGTGACAATCCTTAGCTGGAAAAAAAGGCGAAATTAAAAAAAAATTTAATTTACATTAAAAATAACGAGAAAATCAGCTCCAATCTGAATTTTCCAATATGAGGAACAAAATCATTTTCTTATATACAAAAATTGCAAGTTTCTTCTGAAATCTATATGTACAAACTGCATACTTCTCTGGTCTTTTTCAAAATATTCTGTACAAAAGAGAAAAAAAAATTTTTTATTTGATAAACGATCCTTGTTTTTCAATACCCTGGAACAAAGTGGAGTTATAAAAGAAGAAAAATAAGGGTTTAAGAGATGCAGAGATCGAGAAAACAGAGTTTTGAAACGGAATATCCTAGAGAGGAATAATAATAAGAATTGATGCACACTTTTTTTTCCATGGACCAAAAGAGTGGAATCGAGAAAAGTCACGGCCCGTGAAATGAAAGTTAATTCCGTTGTCCAAAAAGAGACATAGAGAATAAATAAAAAAGCACAAAAAAGAGACTTCGAGCGGGGGTTTTTTTTTTTTTTTTTTTTCTTTGGTTTGGTGTATAAGCGGTCTTTGGATACCTTGATGAGTGGGATGCCTATTGTGGTTGCTAGGCGTCATCAAATGTAACTGGTGTGGACCCACTGGCGATCTCAGTGCCAAATTGTTCAAGTTCACGTTTATCGAAAGATTCGTATTGTTACAAGCTGCTGCCAGGTTGCTGTGATTGTTTGGTGAAGTGGTACCCACATTGGAAGCCGCGTGCGGCGACAATCCCGAACTATCCGTCGTTGGTGCTGATGGATTTGATGATGTATTATGAGAACCAAAATCCTTGCCACCATTTGCACCAGCGCCAACTCCACTTGTGCCTGAAGATCCACCCGAACTTCCGGTGACTGTTTTCGAACACCTCAAACACTTTGGTAACCAGGAATGTCTTCTGATGAATTTTCGATATTCCTTCTTCACCTGTAACAATGGGAAATTAGTTTAATTCAAAAATAAAATTTTCTTTAACAATACGAAAATTGTTGTTGAACAAAAGTTTCTTGAAAATGAAAAAAAGAATTTTATTATTTTCGAATAGAAATTGAAAGAGATTTTTGGAAAGAATTTCTCGACTTACTTTTTCATTCTGTACACAGTGGAATAAGAAGATAAACAATCCTTGAAGGCTATTAAGAATAGTGAAGATGTACGCCATCACAATGGTACTTTGATTGAGATAAAGTAGTCCGAAAGTCCAGGTGAGTCCTAAAAGGAACACCAAGACAACTGCTCCTCGTAGCCAGGCCCTGATAAATAATAATAATAATTTATCTATAGTTTCTTCTTGAAATATTAATAAAATATTGTGTTATCTTTAACAAAAAATTGTACACGTACTTGTTTATTTTTCCACTAATTTTTCTGTGCAATTAATAAACATTTCGTGTACAATTATTGTAAAATAAATACTCGAGTGTAAGTCTATATGTTGAGAGCTTATAATTAATTGGTTTAGTCTTTTTTTACTACTACTACTACTACTACTACGTCTACATTGATAACTACATTAATTAAAAGAAAATGAATGAAACTAAAAAAAATTAAAAACCATGCACCATATCGTTTTAAAAACCCAATGGTATTAAAAAAAAAAAGTATTCCTGTTAATTGGCGAATGACATTTTTATGAAATTATCTCTCATAATAATGTGAATATATATATCTTTAAAGAAATTATTCTTTTCTTTCTATTAAGAAATTAATTTTTTTTTGCCTCTCAACTAAGAAATGAACTCTCTCGGAACTTCTCTAATTAATTCTTTAAATAATTGTTGATTTTTAATTACTTCTTCAAGAGATAGTTCTTTTTCCTCATGAAAAAAAAATTGAATTTATCAAATTCAATCATTTAATTCCCAATATATATTTTTTTTTATCATTTTGAATAAATCAAATTAATTTATATTATTTTTGTAAAAAATAATTTTTTAAAGAACCATCTTTAGAAAAAATATTTTTACAATGCTCCAGTGGGTTTTGTTAACTCATTATATGATAAAAAGCTATTCTACAATATTACGTGGATGATTAAAAAAAAATTTAATAAGTTAGCTTGTATGATAAAATGATAAAAAAAATAATTAAAGCTAATGAGTGGGATAAAGGATAATAAAAATCGTAAATATCTTACAAGTGCGCTTGCAATTTGTTGGGAAGAGCATTCTCCTCCTTTCCACTACCAACCAACCACGCCATGCAGAAGAATGTAGACAAGTGTAGACAGAAGTGGGGTAGAAGTTTTTTTTTTGTTTTTTTAAAAAAACAAAATTAAACAATACAGCAGTTAGGTGGTTGTTCCAACACCGTTAATAATAAATTTAATAATTTAAAAAATAAAGCCTATCTCGCAATTTGAATAATAATTTCCGTTTCTTGCCACGAATCAAGCAAAATAACGGAAATAAATTTTCCTTTCATGAATAAAAAAAAAGAGAAATTCATTTCAATCGTGATTATTGTTTTAGTATCTCCATCACCCCTTTATAAAAATAATAATTTTTCGAAAAAAAAAATAATAATCCAATCACCCATTTTGTGAAATATATATACAAAATGATATATAATAAAAATATAAATTTCATTTTTTTTTTGTTTTGAAAAAAATTTTTTCCAATCAAGTCTATTTACAATTTTTTTTCGATTTATTGCATATCTATATAATTTTTTCAAATGTGCAAAATATCGTGACAGGCATGAATGAGTAAAATCATTGGCAAAATATAAATGTACTGTGAATAATAATCAACAATGCGTGTTAAAAAAAAATCTACAAAAATACTGCATTACAATATGAACGCAATATGCGATCATTCCAAACAAAACAAAAATGTGAAAAATCAAACGAAAGAAAAGAATTTTAAAAATTGTTTGATAAATAAAAATTCAAAAAATATGCGTGAAGTCCTGGAAGGTTTTTTTTTTTGAAAGCTAGACAAGCTAAAATTAAATTAAAAGCATAAAACACACTTTTGATTCTACTCGTCCAGAGTTCTGTCGTCGTATGTATAGTGTAATTTTCCGATATTTTGTTATGTACAAATTGCGCAGCGTTTGTGAAAAAAAAAAAAATGAATTGCTTTAGCTTACCTTGCACTGGCGAGGCGAGAATGTTCTTTACTCTTCATAGAAACAGTGGTGTTCGCGTGTCGACACATCATATAAATTGCCATTGAAAGAAATACCAAATTTGCCTGTAAAAATGGAAAAAAGGTTAAAAATTGTATGCTCACTGATAAGGTTGATTATTTTTATGGAAATTGTATAGTTTGAAAGAAAAAAAAAAAGAAGCAGTAACAACTAAAAAAAAAGAGATTAACGAGGTTTCAATTTACATGTTGAAAATTTTTATTATGATTTTTAAATAAATAATATTTGTCGCATAATTACCAGAATAACGAGGATCACAGGTCCGACAAAACTAAAGATGAAATAGTTATCCGTTCTGAGCCAACAGTGTTGTTCAGTACCGTAGCTAAGAGGATCGATTATGCAAGAGACGGCAACTATAACTAATGGCAGGCCGTAAGCTACAAGATAGTACCATCGAAGTCGCGATTTTTCAGCTTCAAAAACTTCGATTAACATCACGTACAACTGAAAGCCTGGTAAATAATATTGGTCAATTAATTTTTTTTTTTTTTAAATTTTTCATTATAATTTAGTTGTTATATCTTTACTATTATATTTTAATTATTATATCTTAATTAAAAATTGAGTCAAGATTGAATTGAGTCTTATACCTTCGAGGAACATCCAAGCAAAGGCGCACAAGAAAAAGAAATGCAATAGTCCTGCAACAATACCGCAGAGAATTCTCTGATCCGTTTGTCCGATTCCACAGACGAAAAGAATCTCAGCGACGAGTAAACAGACGCAGAGATTCTTGTGAATGGTCGTTCTATCAGACTGTAAATAAGAAAAATAATTATTTGATTGCAATTGTATTTTTTAATATTCTTTAGTGACTTTTCTTTGTCATTATATAGACACAAGAATAAGGTACATAGAAGACAAGATCAAAGAAGAGTATTTAAAAAAAAAATAAAATACCTTTAATCCACGAAACAGTTGAAATGTAAGAATTGCCAGGAAAAGACACACAACTGAAATTGTACATCCAATGTATGTCATTATTTGTAGAGCACGATCTTGATCATGAGTCAATTTAACTGCGTGTACATCCATTAAAATTGCAAAATTTGTCAAATGTCTACAAGTACAAACAGTGTGTGTTGTATTTGTATCCAAAACATTGCAACCTTCATTCGACCAGGCACTGTAAATTAATAATTATCATTAACACTTATCTCCAAAAAGTGAGATAAAAAAAAAAAAAAATCAAAAGATAAAGAAAAAATGAAATTTACTTGACGGTATAATCCCAGAAGACACATGTTGGATTAGAAATATTATCAGCGACTGTCAAATGTCGAAAATAAATTTTCACTGATTCTGATAATTCAATATGTCGTCCCTTGCCAAGTGATGCTGAAATGACTTTACTATTTAAAATTCTCGTTCTATTTTCTTTTGGTTTTACTAAAATTTGATCGTCGCTCATAACAACTGTTGGTACTTTTTCAACAGTTTGTAAAATTTCTTCGAGTCTATCGAATGCCATGAAAACAAGTCGTACAATTCCACCCTCACTGTTCTCAATAAGAGCTCGCCTTGGCAGTTGTATCGAGGCGTTCCATTTTTGTTGAGTCGATTTCGAAGGAAATACTTCCACATTGTTATTGATATTGCGCGTCTCCAGTACACGAACTTCCATTACTGGAAATAAAAACAAAAAATATTACAATCAAGACATGAATTCTACAGAAATCCGAAAATTCCTAAAAAAAAAAAAAAGAAAATTGAAACTTACGTATATTTTTGCCCTCCTGAATTATTTTCCTCTCGTGTCTAAGTGTCTCGGCAAGAAGAAAGGCATTTTCTTCTAAACCAATGAAAAGTGATGTTGCCACTGCCATTTGATCATTTTCACTGAGATCACGCCACGATGCCAATTGTGCCTCATCAAGAAGATTACTACCCGTTCTAATGACACCTTGTAATAATTCAGTGACACTAACTTCCCGTTGGCTTGCATCCTGATAAGTTTTAATATCTTCGGCTAATTTTTTTGCCATATTTTGAATGATTTTGGTTGTTATTTTCATATCACCACCATACAACATTTGACTATTGTTTGTCACTTGTGATAAATCACGGCTAATACCAAGAATCACATCACCTTCGGCGATTCTATTCTCCAATGATGTCAACCACACTGAACGACATTCGCTGAGATCGGGAGTGTCACGATCCCAGGATGCAGCTGAATCACCTCTGGCAACGCAATTCCAACGTGCATAGCCATTTGCACCACCAGGACAATTTTGTACCGCCATGTCACCAGCACGTGTGGTATTCCAAATCAAATTTCTGGCCTCTCTCGGCAAGCATAATTGTCGACCATAATCATACCACTGGCCATTCGAGCTCGATTCTGGATACTGTGTACTAGGCACTGAAATCAAACGATAGATGATGATGATTCGTCTACTAAATCTATTTCTGGTAAATTGCAGACCAAGTCAATTAAGATAGCAGATTGGCGACGAGGCCAACATTTCCGAGTTAACGGAAATAATTTTCCTCTCTCTCTCTCTCTTGTTATTATATTGCAAATTACAATTTTCTCAATTAGATACATGAAAATGATTTTGAAATATTTTCTGCTTTTTTTAATTTTTTTTTTCAATTTTTGAAAGGGAGTATAATCCACAAGTTTTTATTATTAAATTGAAATATAAACAAGTGGAACTTTTTTTTTTTTGTTGGAAATTCTATAAGATTGGTAAATATTTATATGCATTGGAGAAAAGTCTCAATGTATATATACTTGAGGTATTCTTTTTGAGCAAGCAATATCCAGAAAATATTTCTCATGCATCTGAATAAAGAAAGTTGGTTTTCGAAAAAAAAAAACTACATCGATCCCTTTGAAACGTGTGCCTCATGTAACTTTTCTCAATCTTGTGTATATGTATATATACTGAAAGAAGGCTTCGTATATAAAGAAACTAGATTCCACTAATGTGGTTGCATTTTACTATATTCATATAATTCTTCGAAAGACCTTTTTCTTTGGATTTTATTTATCTTACATTTCGTCAAAATTTACGAATATAATATTTTATAAAATAATAATTACCAGTTGTTCTACGACTAGTTCGCATTGAAACAAACATTGACGTTGTTGTTGCCTGCGTTGTTTCCGGTTCGACAGGCACTTCAACTGATTCAAAATCGCTGACAGGACGAACCAAATCCTCATTCTCGTCGACTTTTACATCACTACCGAGTCTCGTCGACGTAGGACTAAAATTAAAAAAAGTAATAAATTATCAATTAGTTTATTTAATATTACATGATTATCGAATATTATATATTCCTTTAATTTTGATTTAAAACAATCTGGGATTTTTTTTTTATTATATTAAAAATTAAAAATATTTAAAGATAACAAAAATTCATTAAGTACTTTAAATTTCTTATTCAAGTATAGTACAGCAGATAGACGCAAAAAAAAGAGAGAATATAGATCGAAGTGAATACAATGAATAAATTACAAACTTTTGAAATAATTCCTTAATACACTTCAAAATACACGACAGATTAAATTTGAAATTAATTGATGAGAATTCTGTTGAATTGAATAAGAGGTCAAAGGCTGAATGTTTTATGTTTTAAAAGCGAATGTAAATATAAATTTAAAGAGTATATATTCATTTTATTTGGAGAAATTAAATGTCAAAAAAAAGAGAGTTTTCAAAAATTTAAAAGGAAAGACTTTTTTTTAATAACTTCAATTTTTATTAAAATCTGTCATTTAACGTCTTATATAAATTAAAATCTGACGGAGTTTTATGTATATATATTCTCATTTTATTTTGAAAATAGATTTATAATTTTATGGCAAAAATAGTATAAGTAAATATCTTATTCAATGTATTATTTAAAAAAGAAATTATTATCAATAATACAGTAAATACACATTGAAAAAAAGGATTGGTATTGACAACCAAACGTTTGGTTGGTATTTAAGCAATCAAAATTTTTTTGTTGAATCAACAAAATTTTGGTTGTCCCAATTAAACTTTAGTTAGGACAACAAAAATCGTTTTTTTCTAATTTTGGTTGTGTAAAACAAATTTTGGTTGCGACAATTAAAATTTTGTTGATTCAACAAAAAAATTTTGGTTGCTTAAATACCAACCAAATGTTTGATTGTCAATACCAAACCCTTTTTTCAGTGCATAGTATTCTCTAAATCTGAATTTGTAAAAAATTTTAATTGACTTATTTTGCGATATAAATAAGTTAAATTTGCTAATTAATTAATGATTGTCTTTTTAATAATTTATTTATAAATTTTTAACTTATTTATTAGTAAATTTTGACTAATTTATTAGCAAATTTTAACTAATTTATAATTTATAAATGAAATATTTAAATTTAAAAATTATAAATTCGAAATAGTTTAGTTTGTTTTGAAGCGATTTTGTAATTATCTTTATACCTGAATCCCGAGCTTTATGTTTACATTGTAGTACAAAAGGTATCTTAAGTCGAAGGTCATAAAAATGGGCGGATTAAAAATCCTAAAGATAATTCAATTAGTTGCAATTCGTGTCTTGACTTGTTTAGACGTAATCGTGTAAATGTTACAATTTTAAAAGGAAAAAAAAAATTATCTATTTTCTTTATCGTATTTTATTTCAAGTGAATAAATTCGGGAATGTTCGAAATTCTTAAAATCGCGATCGTTTAAATCTTGAGAAAAAGTATTTTCCGGTATTATCTATTTTTTAAAAAACACAGTTTCGGAAGTGTTTGAAATTTTTTAAATCGCGTGTGTGTGTTTCCAGCAGATCTGATATATTAGTTGCAGGCTAAGGTTAGTGATATATTTTTGATAAATTTTGTTTTTTTTCTATTAAACAAAAATTAAAAAGTATATTGACCCAAAAAGGTTAATAATTATTTAAAGTTCCGGAAATTATCTTTTAAAAGACGGGGAATTTTTTTTTCTAAAGTTTTTGTAGCAAATCTGATGGAACTATATTTAACTAAATATTTAATGATTTTTTTTCCCAAAAAAGTATTCATGATTCATAATTCTTTTTTCTTCCTTGCAAGTATATGAATATATAACTGACCTCGGTAGAGTTGTTATTGAAGGGGTAGTGGATGGTACTGAGTGTTGGGGAGGCTGTTGAGCAGCTGGTGTTGTAATCCTCGAGGGTGGTCGGACTGTTGCCTTAACTGTACTCCAAACACTGGGCTGGGACGTTATCAGCCATGGTGGACTAGGACGTGACGTAGTTGTAGTCGTAGAAGCTGTGGACATAATGGAAATCATTTTAAAAACTAAAATTTGCACAATCGATTATTTTCATCCCTATATTTATAATAATAATATAAAGCAGGGAAAATTTTCGTAGTAAAATTCTAATTAAATATTATATATTTTATTCTCAAAAAAAGGATCTTATTTTTCTTCTTAAATCATTTTATAGAATTTTTTTTTTCTATAAATCCAATTTTATCAGGCGTTAAAATTAATTATTTTCTCCATTAATCATATGAGTCAGCCCATTTTCTTTATATTTTTTTTGCTCCTTCGCAAATACATATCTAAAATTGTTATTTTTAAATTAATCTAAAATTCCATATAATCTCTCTTCTTCTCGATTATGAATAATAATTAGCAAATATTTGTGATTGTAAATGAATACTATTTTCAGACATAATAATCAATATTTGTGTCTGGAAAAAATTAGGTCATTGTTTGTATTTTCGTCCTTAGTGTATCCTTTTTGAAAAATTAAATTCAATTCCTTCTTTTTTTTAAATTGAATTTTAGTGTTTTTATTTGCCATCGTAAATAGGAAATTATTATTTTTCGTCAAGATATATAAATAAATAATCAGCTTGACCTGAGATATTGTCGACGTTTTTTTTTTATTTTAAAGATTCATTAGAGATGTAATTAAAAGCGAATAATAATAATAATAATAATAATAATAAGAAAGTTATAAGAAAAAAAAAAAAAATAACTGGGCTGACTAAAGTGGACTCTTTCCACTTGAAAAACCAATATACATGTAGGTGAGTCAAGCAACTTGTAATGGAGCGACGCGTTTGTTCTCCATCATCGTCTATGCATTATAAGCAGTGGCGCATGAAATGAGATCGTTATCGCTCTCGTAATGAAATCCTTATCGCGACAAGTACGTCAGAGTTCAAACGCACAGCAAGTTCGATTCTTGTACGCGAATAATAATAATAATAATAATCATATACACTCAGACTGTTGAAAAACTATACAACTCCTTTTAAGTATTCATAAATTTATGTATACAGAGGAAACACTTAATTTTTAACATTTTACAATTATACTTTTTTCGTTTTATTTTCTTTCTTTAGATCTTAAATCAAAATCAATTGTTAAATTTTTTTTCAATTACGTATATTAGGACGTTTGAATTTACTCAGATTAAACCGAATTTTTATTGAACCAAATTTTTATTACACCAAATTTCTATTTAATAACATTTTTATTAAACTAAATTTTTATTTAACAACATTTTTAATAAACCGAATTTTTATTATACCAAATTTTATTATACCAAATATTTATTTAACCGAATTTTTATTTAATAGAATATTTTATTAATCGAAGTAAATTACAATATAAAATGTACATTTTAATATTAAGTTATTTTATGTAAAATTTGGCTTAATAGAAAGTAAGTCTCATAAAATTCGGTCTACTGAAAATTTAAACTATAATAAGTAGTAAGGAATGCGTTCCTTTGAAACAAGTTACTCGCTCAGATTATTTCTTTCATTTTGGCAAATTTCCAAAACATAGCACATAGCCGTAACAGCTGTTAAATAGAATATAATTAAGTTAAATATATTATAATATTATGCGAAGATGTAAAAATCTCCCTATTTTTGTAAAGTGAAAAAAAATTAACATTGGTACTGAAAGATTTTTCCAAGTTTTTTTGTTTAAATTATGACATTCCTCTTCTCATTTAATATATAAAAAACTTTTACTTTTTTATTTCATTAAATGATTAATTTCTTCTTTGCAAAAAAAGAAAATATAAATTTTTTCCTTGTTAGGAATATAAATTTTTTTCCTTAATTTTCTAGAAAAGTACCTTTCACAGCAGTAGTTTAAATTTTATTCTTTAATTATCTCTCAACCAAACGCAAATTATTCATCTATAATCTTATAACTGAGTTAAGAATTTTGCGCATTTTATCGAGAAAAAAAGAAATCTCTTCAAGATTTCCCTTGAGTAACTGGATATTTTTCTTTATAAATAAAATTTACTTACCAAAAGGTAAAAAATTATTCTCGTCGATAAAATAATTTTTTGGTATTTTTGTTTTGAATTATAATAATTGTCCATTCGAATTTATCGAAGACAAAAAAAAAAAAAAAACGATTTTCTACTTACCAGAAACGCACTGATAATGTGCCTCGAGATATTTTAAGGTGTTTGGACACGGATCTCCAAACTGTGAGGTCGATGCCACAATACTGCAATTCTGCTGCTGATTACACCTGTTCGAAAGATTGCGAATGGAACAATTTAATTATCGAGGTTTTTTTGATTGTATATAGCTTTTTTTTGCAACGTGTGTACTGCCATGGATGACGTTTTTTTTCGTGTCTTCTTTTTTTTTTTTTTTGAAATGTTGGCCCGAAGGCAAGTCACGACTTTTGTTGAGTATTGAACACACTCGTCTTGCCGATCGCATTTAATTTTAATCAAGTCGATGAAAAGTCAGTCCATCGAGGATAGTTTTCGCTTTTTTTTCTGTTTTCTATCACTATATATAAAGGGGCCCCGAATGGACTTGGCAGAAACTTGAGGGAAACGAAGGTAACTGTCTAGAAACTAAACCCTTGTAGATCGGGGTGGTACCGTCCGGTGGTGACGAAGGGTCGTTGAAACGCGGTCCACGTATCGACGCTCAGCCTACCGTAAACCGAGGTTATTATCATTGCCTTCAGGGAGAGAGTCGTGGGAGCCGCATCCCCTTCTCTCTCTCTCTCTCTCTCTCGCTCTCTCGTTTTGTCGATTGATTTCCTGCCGTAGGGGGCACATCCGACGATGAGTGCCCATTTCAAACGCCATATTACTGCGAATAACTCGCTACATCGTAATCAGGATTTCTCGAGCAAACCAGAAATTTCAAGTTTCACTCCATTTCTCTCACCTTCTTCTTTTTTTTTTTCTCTTTTTTTTTCTGGCGCCCGCAAATTCCACGCTTTATCTGATATTTTTCATTTATGTATTTTCCTTTTTTTAAGGATACAATATTTTATTGTAATTTTCATTTTTTTTGTTATTAACTAAATAATAATTTTATTATTGTAATTTAGTTATTAATAACAAATCGTATTTAGTTGTAAATAATAAAATTATCTCTTTAAATTTTGTTTAAAAAAAAATTATTTTGCACTTAACAAAATATTTGTGTGCATTTAGGGAAATTTAAAATAAGATGAATTGATTTAAATAAATTTATCTTTATATTTACTCTCTAAATTTGAATTAGTAAAATTTTGTATCTAATTTGAATTACTGACTCACTTTTTGCCTTTGAATTAGTAAAATTTCACTAATTAATAGTAAAATTTTGTTTTTTTTTACTATCGAATTAGTATAATTTTACTAATTTAAAAGCAAAAGATGAGTTACTAATTTAAAAGCAAAAGATGAGTCACTAATTCAAATTAGTAAAAACTTTACTAATTTAAATTTAGAGAGTAAACAATTTTATTTTAATGATACAACTTTTTTTGTAGCAAAACCAATTTTTGGTTAATTAAACAAAATATTGAATAATAATAATTATTATCATTAACAAATTAATTAATTCTGTCATTTATTATTTATTTTATTTATTATTAATAATTATTAATAATTAATAATAATAAATAAATAAAACAAATAATAAATAAATGAAAGAAAGGAATAAAATAAATCAATTAATAAAAATAAAATATTTTTCAATAATCTGTAAAATTGAAAATTGTTTTTATCTATTTTGTGGGAAATGGTTTTGTTATTGACTTTTTATTTCTTGTTTTTTTTTGTTATTTTTATTAAATGAAGGAACATAAACCAACCTAGACAGTGATATTGCACCTCGATGTATTTTCCTGTCCCGGGACATGGGTCCTCCTCGAAAACATCGCTCCTTACTTCCACTGTGCAAAACCGGTGCCCGTTGCACCTGCGACCGCAACGTGAAAAAGAAATACATTCCCCATGAAATCTCTGGATTTTTTTCCAGAATTCTATTTCAGCGTGGAATGATACAGTAATAAATCTCGCGTGGTAACAACAAAAAAAGAAAAAGCTCTCAACAAACAAAAAAAAATACCCATTTTCCCTCGACTTAATTTATTGCATTCTATAATAGTATAGTACCCACTCTGATTTATTTAGAAAACTTTATTTTGTCACTTTATTTATCATATTAAAAAAAATGAAAATCACCCAAAAATTACTTTTTTGATTACTGTAAAAATAGTACTAAATAATAATAATAATAATTTCAAGTTAATTTAAATATTCTCGTGAAAATATTTTATGATTCACTCTTCGCGGACGGCACATTTATATAAAGTTATTATTGCATTGCAGGTTATATGTATATAGCGACTTGAAAGTTGTCTTCATTAAAGAAATAATCGTAATAATATGACTTTGCCTTTGGAGAAGCGTGACATAAAGGTTAGATTAAACAATAGAACTGAGGTTAGCGACAGTGGGTTGATAATAACAGTTTTGAGACAAAAGCACAGTAGGCATTTGAGATAAGTAGCCAATTTTCAATTTCGAAACGAATCCACTTATATTATAAATAAATATATAGAAAAAGAAATTTCCCAAGTTGAAAATGTGTTCTTAAAAAAAAAATGTGCAAAGAATAAATCTTGTTTTGATGAAGGAAAAGTATATTATTTATAATAATAAAAAAATATTTTTTAAAAATAATATTAAAAATATCAATATTTTCTTTTCAATTATTTTTAAAAAATATTTTTATTATTGTTTTGAAAGAAGTATAAAGCGTGTTAGATTATCTAAAATTTCAAGTAGGTAATTAAATTCTAGTTTTAATAATTTTATATTCAAATTTCAATATATGTATATATAAATATATACGCGCAAATACCGCATGTGTGTACATTGAGGGATTTGCATTTCTGGCAATGAAAGGTTTACCGTTGAAGGGTGAATTATATTCATATAAAGCAAAAACATTACCCATTCCCTCGGATTTATATATAAATATGATGTGATGATTAAAACTGTCATATTGCAAAATCAAACACAAAGATTTACTTTCCTTTTTTTTTTTAATATACGGAGAATTTTTTTTTACGTCAATTTTCGAAATTGTATACATGATTTTATCATTTTATTTGAAAATTGTAAACAGTTGACGGTTTTTTTTTTAATATTGATTTTATACACCCCTTTCGTTCAAGTGCATTTCTCTCTAACCCTTTCCTGTCTGGCAGGCAAAAAAAAAAAAACAAATTAACACTCCGTGAAATATTTATACTTGGTAATTCTTTTTTTTATTAAAAAAAAATGTAATTAAGTTTTAAATTATTTATTTCAATTTTTATTTTTCCATTTCTATATGAGAGTAATTTTTTAAATATAAAAAGATAAATTTTCATGTAAAATTGTTACATGACAAAAAAGTTATATATATATTTTTTTAAATATCTGCATAAATGCCTTGTAATGAAATAATAATTGTTGAATATAACTGAATTTTGAAAATATTAATTATGGAAAATTATAATTAAAAAAAAAAAAAATTGATTGATATCACGAAATTGAGGAATAATTTGCGGAATTAATTAAAATGTCAAAAAAAGGGAAAATTTAATTAAAAAACAGATATGTGAAATGTATACATGCAAAAATTGTTTAAACTGTTAAAATTTATTTCATGATAATGGACATAAATTTAGGTGAAAAGTTAATTTCCTTTTTTTTGATGAAATTAATTAATTTTCAAAACTAAAATTATCAACTTTTTTTTTTGATAAAAAATGGAAAATAAGTATCTAAAAAATAGAAATTGAAATAAATATAAATAATTTATTTTCAAGTCAATTAATTTATTGAAATTTTTTTTTTTGAAACTAAAATTTCGTCTTTTTTTTTTGTTGTAATCTTGATTAATTTATGACCCCCTCTTTTTTCTGCACAATTTTTCATTGTCGTACTATTATTGCAAGGATTTTCAGAGTTGAAATGTACGCGCCAAGTAATGCGTCATGATTATTGAATTGACAGTGACCCTCGTAAACAGAATTATCACCCCCTGATGCTTTAGCCAGCCGGCTTTAAAATCTTTTGTGAGTGTGGAATTATCGTCGACGAATATATATATATATATATATATATATATAAAAGCGAATCTGATGGGGGAAACGAGTTGGAAAATGCTTGTAAATCATTGCCCGATGAGTTGTCTCGGATGGACGCGCGTCGTTGACGTGCCACACCAACACGCACTTTACCTACTTACAATTAAAGAGAGACGGAAATTTGCAAAATTATTTCAAACCCTCCCTCTTGTATATTTTGTTATTTTCGCGTAATAAACTGCGAGCAACAACGTTACTAATTGGACACTAAATGAAAATGCGAGGGAGTCTGATAAATCAAAAGGCGTAACTTGCAGGCAGGGATTCTGACAAATGAATTCAGAAGAATTATTCAAGTATTATAAAACCATCGCTTTCGGGATTAACGCGTCGAACAAAAATTCAACTTTTTCAGATCGTAATCCGTCTTTTTTTTTTTTTTTTTTGAAACTTCCCCTTCCGCAAGTAATCGCGATTAGCAAAGTGCCATTAACGAAAAGGCATAAAAACTCTAAAAAAAAAGAAATATTTTTCTTTAGCAAAGAGAAAAGGGTGTAAATATTTCCTGATACTCATTAATTGCAATTTTGAATCGAATTTTATAAGCCCAAATTTTCATTTTTTATTTAAATGCCATGAGGAAAATTTTTTGAAACAATGAAAATTTGGACTAAAATTTTTTAAAGAATACTTATACGAAAATTTGTTTTTTCTTTCATCTCCCATCCCCTTGGAAAAATAAGTCTAGACACGTGAGAAAACTAGTTTGCTTAAGATTTCCGTATTTTTTTTTAATTGTGTGAAATTTACACGTGAATCTGTATGAAAAAATTTTTTTTTAGGCCTGTAATTGTTTGAAACGTAGATTTACAAAAAAAAATATATCTTTTTACGCATGAATTTTTACGTAAATGCGCATATTTATACTAGTGGAAAAAATTTTATAATTCTATTTTTTTTTATACAATGCATTCAGAAACAGTTGCACGAGGGAAAAATAAACGAAATAAAAGTCTCGTACACTTGAAAAATATATTTTTTTTATATATATATAGAAAAAACAACAGTTTTACCTTTATTTTACAAATACGCATATTTGTTTGTTTGTTATTTTGTTTTGAAATAAAATTAAATATTATGTGAACATGATAGTG